TAGAGACGATTTTCAAAAACCTACGAGTATTCAATGATACCCCACATGACATAGTTCGTTGACTTTCATTTTTTCTTTTTCACAATATGGCGTCCGGCTGTCGCCATTTTGAATTTTGATTACTGTCATGTTTTTATAATAGTTACAAATGGATTGACGTAAGAATCATCAAAATCTCTCCACAAGTTTGTTCTCTAGAACTCTAGAGCCCAACAAAAGAACAAACATACATACATATATAGGCTGATAATCACATTACTCTCCTTTGTGTCGTGCATTCGGGTAAAAAGGACGCGATGCGATGTATTTTTTTCTGCCAATAACCGCTCAGCAATTTGGCAGATTGCAAAACTGTAACAGTCTAAATTTCTATTATGTCGAATAAAAAAAAGAGAATTAGAAAGGGACGCAATGCGATGTGGCGAAGCTGCAAGTTCTGATAAGCAATAACTGTTCGGACATTTGCTAGCTTGTATCACTGCTCGTAGCGCAATTATTTGTTATTGTTTGAGATAAATTATTTATCTCTTGCTATTGTTAAATATCAAATAATTGCAATAAAGCAATTATTGCTTTCTGTATCCTCTGTATTTTAAAGTTAAAGCCTATACACGTCCCACGGCTAGACACAGGCCTCCTTTCATTTCTGAAAGAGTTTTAGAGCAAGGAAAAGTGCGCCGCGCTGCCCCAATGCGTTTTGGCGCACTTCACATGTCTTCTAAATATTATTTTTTCTTATTTCTCAGACATGCAGATTTCCTCACGATGTTTTCCTTCGCCGCCGAACACGTGGTAAATTAGCAATAAAAAAAAATTGTAATTAACAATTTCATTGGTGCCGGCGGGATCGAACTCGGGTTGCTCGCGTACTGTTAAGTAACAGCGAGCGCTTAGCTCCTGGGCTACCACGGCTCATATGTTTAGTACCACAGTTTTAATACTATTGTATGGATTATTGTATGGAAATAACATTTTATTTAAGTTGAGTTCAATACTTGTTGAAATGTTATTGTAACCATTTCAACGTTATCTATCTATCTATACAAATAAATAAAATTGAAGTGTCTGTTTGTAAAGTCAAAATTACAGCTTTTTACTAAATGCATATGAAAGTATATACCGGTACTAATAACAAAAATACAATTTTTAAAATTTTTGTCTGTTTGTCTGTCTGTCCGTCTGTCTGTCTGTTTGTTCCGGCTAATCTCCGAAACGGCTGGACCGATTTTGACGGGATTTTCACTGGCTGATAGCTGATATCACAAGGAGTAACTTAGGCTACTTTTATTTTAGAAAAAGAAAAAATTAGGGTTCCACGCAAAAAAAAAAAATTAAATTACCCCAGAACACGCGGGCGAAGTCGCGCGGAACAGCTAGTACATAATAAATAAAATTGTTGCTTCTGTCTGTTATATCGAAATAACTGGCTTACAATAAGCTGATAGGTTACTGCATGCCATTTATGAAATGAACGGACATTGTCTTTTTTTCTGTATATCCGGACTAATCTTCGGAACGGCTGAGCCGATTGTGATGAAATTTCACAAAGAGACAGAGAGCGATGCCAGTATGAGCAGTGCCATGGATTTAGGTTATATTTTAACGGAAAAACTTAGTTTACTTTTTATAAAAATGTAAAATTTATAGAATGTCTCTGATTTTATTTGCTTATAAATCTAAATAACGTTATATTTATAGAACCCCAGGCGAATCTAAGGCCGCGTTCCGATGACACGCACCCGCTACGCGCACGCCACGCGCGTCAATACCCGCGTCTAACTCGCTTTGAAATTTGTTGCATATAATTTGAGTCTTATGGCAAATCAATAAATCTGAAATTGCATTTATCGACGTTCAACCGCAAACGCCTCGCACACGCCACGCGCCCGCCTCGATTCCACTCCGCGCCGGCCCCGCGCTCGCCCCGCACACGCTCTGCACCCGCCCCGCTACGCCCTACGCCCGCACTTTTTATACAAGATTTATTGATTTGTCATAAGACTCAAATTATATGCAACTAGACGCGAGTGCTGACGCGCGTTACGTGCGCGTAGCGGGTACGTGTCGTCGGAACGCGGCCTTATAATAAATAATACAAAATAATATACCTAGGTAATATTATTTCTTAGCACACAAAGACTTTTCTCAAGAAGATGACTAATGCCATCTTTGTATGTTACCGGAAACCAGTTTTCGGACAAACTAGTTTTTTTAGACTAGTTATTTTAAAAATAAAACCTGGCTTATTAATAGTATATTTATAATAATTTAAAATTAAAATTTTTATGCAACCGACTTCAATATAAATTACTAAGAATAACTCAAAAACTATTTGGTCAGACCTTGATCAAATTTATATGGGACCACATGAGAAGCATCAGCTTTTTAATAAAAAAAGAATCATCGAAATCGGTTAAGCTAGAAAAAAGTCACACGCTCTCTTAATTTTTGCTGAGTGGCTAAATATTTGTGTGGTTTAGCGTTATCGTGATGAAAGACCACTCATTTTCTGTTGATCAATTCCGGCCGTTTTTTCTTAATGAGTCTCATTAGTTGTTGGCAGTAGAGATCCGAATCGATGATTTTGCCTGACAGTAAAAGTTCATAATAAACGATGCCCTTCCAATCCCACCATACACACAGCATCACCTTATTGCGTATAATCCGGGTTTCGTTACAGTCCGTGGAACTTGACTACCCTTCGACCATGATCTTTTTCATACGTTCTTGTCGTAGGTGATCTAATTTCCATCACCAGTGATCAATCTTTTCAAAAATATACAGTCAAATTGAGTACCGTCTCCTTTTTGAAGTCGGTAGAAAAGAAATCACCTAGCCGCGGTGCCACAGGCTACACTATCCCATATAATTCCGTGGGTGTCGTAAGAAGCGACACGGGGAAACAAATCAGGAGATGGGCAGAAGCATCTTCCTGATAACATCGGAATAAAAACAACTGCCAAGCGTGGCAACTGTGGCAAATATCCTCCTAAGAGGCAATCTAGGGGGAGTGGCCTATGGTCAGCAGTGGGCCTTTGATATGCTGTGAAGGTGAAAGAAGGTTGCTTATTTTATGGTATTTAGTTCAAAACAAACTCTAGTATAAATCCGCGATTTGTTATAAACTATTTTTAATAATATGATGAAATACTTTGACGTGGTAGCTATATTATGGTTGTAGCTCGAATAGTATTGCTCGACCGGGTAAGGACCAGACTCTCACAGAATACCAGCATGAAATAGCAGCTTAATGCTGCTGTGTTTCCTTTGGCGAGTGTAGAGAACCGGAGATCATTTTTACTTGAAAAGAGGCATTCCATCTTAGTCCTCTGGGGTGACAATGCATCTACATTTTTATTCTTAATTGAGGATAAATGTAGATGTGTATGGGCCACAGCATCCACTTACCATCAGGTGGACTGTGTGCTCGTTTGGCACACTCATATTATAAAAAAAAAGAATAAAATGTTGCTACGCTCGAACCGACTAGATAGACAGCTACACCTCAACTTACTGTCGCTATTATTACTATATTATTTAATCGGGTTTGGCCAGTTACATAAGCAATTCCTAAATGGTATTAGGAAATGTATAAAAATAGCATTATAACGTAGAAATGAAAATGTCAAAATATTATAGCACCTATATTGTTAATGTCTGATAAACGAACACCTAATGATAATGGTAAGTAGATATATAGGCACTTCCTACATATATATCCTATATTAAGAATCAGATTGAGGTGATGATGATGTAGATGTTACCCGTGAGGACTAAGATAGAAACCCTCGAATTACTATTAAAAAGGGTCATTAAACAATCGTAATGCTTATTTGTATTTTTTAAACTTTAGCAAACTTTAGAGCACCTGATGTAATTGGTTTTTTTTTTTTATAGGATATGGTGACAAACGAGCACATAGTCCACCTGATGGTAAGTGGGTGCTGTGGTCCATAGACATCTACATCTATCCGCGTTTGCGAATCAAAATGCAGATGCGTCGTTACCCGTGAGGACTAAGATGTAATGCCTCTTTTCCAGTAAAAAGGGTCTCCGGTTCTCTACACTCATCATACGAAACACAGCAGTGTTAAGCTGCTATTTAACGCTGGTATTCTGTGAGAGCGTGGACCTTCCCCGATCGAGCCGACCCATTCGTGCTACAACTATACTACTAATAGCTGCAGCATGGCTCTACCACGTATAAAATCCTACATTAAGAATTAAATTGAGGTGATGATGATGTAGATGTCACCCGTGAGGACTAAGATAGAAACCCTCGAATTACTATTAAAAAGGGTAATTGAACAATCGTATTGCTTATTTGTATCTTGTAAACTTTAGCAAACTTTAGACCACCCGATGGTAATTGCACTCCATGAACATCTGCAAGCAACTTCAAACAAAGCAGACTACAGATACGTTTTCATCTCTTAGGACTGATGTGGAATACCTTACAGCCTATAAATATACTGGCTCTTTATACTCTATAAATGGACCTTATAGCAAAAAAATAATAGGTCAATGGTGTTAGTGTTACTTTGCTTAGCATGTTAACCCATTTTTTGACTAAACGAGGTTCTTGTAGTGATCTTTGGACTCTACTCTACCTAACTCCTTGGAGATATTGTAAAGTCATTATACCTGTTCGTTTATTCACGTACTTTCACTTATTACAAAGGAACTTAATTTAAACAAACAGCAGTACGTAACAAACACAAAATATAAGTAAATTTATTTCAATCGTTGCACCTTATATTAATACAAATAATCTTAACATCGTGATTCAGTTGTTTAATCTCTGTACAACGACAAGACACAGAGCTAGTGACAATTTTAATAACTAAACAATATCACTTTAGGTTTTAAAACAAGTTGCGATGTGGAAAGGTGAAATTAGGTATTGGTGAAAGTAGTGTGGAACGAGTTCCTCCATTTAAATGTTGGCCGCGGTCACGGAAATGACGTCACAGAATTATGTAACCTTTGATGTGTTTCAGGCTATGGGATGACCCTGGGCTTCCCCACCATACTCATTCCGGCAGTAAGCCAGCCGCGCGACGGTGAAGTCCTGCACTTGAACGCTTCGGAAGTATCTTGGATTGGTTAGTTTATTTTACTTTATCAAAATGTTACGTTGTTTATGCGTGGTGGAGCCACGCTGCAGCTATAGTATAATGGTTGTAGCACGAATGGTTCGACTCGACTACCAGCGTAAAAAGCAGCTTAATGCTGCTGTGTTTCGTATGGTAAACTGAGAAATGGAAAAGAGGCATTCAACCTTATTCCTCAGGGGTGACTACGCATCTGTATTTTGATTCTTAATCAATGATAGATGTAGATGTCTATGGGCCACAGCATCCACTTACCACCATGTGGACTGTGTGCTCGTTTGTCACCCTCATTTTACACTAGCGATCTGCCTTGGCTTCGCACTTCGGGTGATTTCTACATCTCGACAACAGCGCCACCTACCGTTTCCAATTGTGTATCATTTTAATCATCCAGGGACCACCTCAAATACACAAAAAAAATTATCAAAATCGGTCGAGCCGTTTTCGAGTTTTGGCGAAACTAATGGATAGCAATTGATTTTTATCGGACAGCAATTGAATTTGATTTTTAAATATATAGAAAAAAAAAACTTATGCCAAGTTATTTTTCAAAGAGTAGCCAAATTTTAAACTTAAGTTCAATTACGAGTACATAAATAAATGTACACCGTTATTGCAGTTTTTGGAAATACGAGTAAATAAGACTTCTACTTTTATTGGAAATTATCCCAAATTGAATGTGTGTTTATGGGCAACAACGTTTTTGCCTTCCGATCGACCCTTATGAATGTGTGTATATTTGAGGTTGTTTTAAATAACATTTCTTCACCATTTGCCTACATTACTTATTCTGAACATTCTCTGTAAATTTGGCGGGTTATTACAAAATAATCCTGTATATAAACTTCTAAACGTTAAGTAAGTAAAGTTACAAAATAAACGTGCCACTGCTAGGCACATGGCGTTCATTTTCTGAGCGTTAATCAGCAGTTAGTCTACTAGTTAGTTAGGACTAACTGCTAGCGCATTTCACATTCATCGTCATTACATCATTACATCTTATCAAATGTCCACTGCTTCATAGGCACAGTTGCCACGCTTGGTAGTCATATTTTATACGTGGTAGAGCCATGCTGTAGCTATATTAGTAATATAGTTGTAGCACGAATGGGTCGGCTTGACCGGGGAAGGACCACGCTCTCACAGAATACCAGCGTCAAATAGCAGTTTAACGCTCCTGTGTTTCGTATGATGAGTGTAGAGAACCGGAGACCCTTTTTACTGGACAAAAGGCTTTTTATCTTATTCCTCACGGGTGACAACGCATCTGCATTTTGAGTCTTTATTGAGGATAGATGTAGATGTCTATGGGTCACAGTAACCACTTACCATCAGGTGGACTGTGTGCTCGTTTGTCACCCGACCCTATAAAAAGAAACCGCAGTGGGTAGCCCACTTCAGAAAAAGGAGGAGGTTTACAATTCGACTGTGTTTTTTGTATGTATGCTCCGCGATATCTTCGACAATTATGAACCAAACTAAATGATGCTTATTATTTATTTATTTAAAAACTTAAATATAACACCTTAAGGAAAAGGAAAAGGCAGACTTATTGCCATAATAAGGCATTCTCTGCCTGTCAACCCTGGGTGCCAAAGACAATTGTAGACAGGTGCGAAACATAATACATAAATAAAGTATACATATATTAAAATATAATATATACATAATACTTACATACACGACATATTATTAAATATATTTCTAATTAAATAGATGATACTTATTTACTTCAGGGGTGATCTCATATTTATTTCAGACGCTAAGTCGCACAGTCTTACAAACAACTTAGCAAAACTTTGTACGCGGTAGAGCCATGCTGCAGCTATATTGTATACCCTTTTTACTGGAAACGAGGCATTCCATCTTAGTCCTCATGGGTGACAACGCATCTGCATATTGATTCGTAATCGAAGATAGATGTAGATGTCTATGGGCCACAGCAACCACTTACCGTCAGGTGGACTGTATGCTCGTTCGTCACCCTTATCCTATAAAAAAGTCTATTCACTCTTGCTTTGAAGTTTAAAGACAGACGCCGGTAAGTTATTTTACTCCTTTACTGGACATATTACGAAAGACAGAACAAACCGTTTGGTTCTATCGCGCGGAATATCGACAACAAAGAGGCGAAGACCCGCCGACCGCCTGGTTTTCCGATGTTGAAAGGGGATATAAATTTGGATAAAAAAATACAGCTTTATGAATGGCTAAATAGGGGATGAAATTTTTAATGTGGTTAGACGATATTGAGATTGTGTTAAATGAAACTAATTTTTACGGATTTTATAGCGTATAATTTAACTTTTTAATTCCCGAAATTTCGGGTGCTTTACAGCACCCATGGTCACGGGGGGGTGGGGGGACTGAGGTGTTTGACGTCCCGATGGAATAGTTAGCCCTGCTACCTTCAGTTTTCTAATATTAACTTTTGGTCCAATCTACGCAGAATGAGCTTATAGTATCTTGAAGTATTGCAGTGGTATGCTTGGGTTTGGATTTAATTTTGTTAATTATAGGATCCTAAGCAGATTGCAGCACCCATTCATCTTCTCTATTGAAATTAGGATGTTTTTTTTAATTCCAATAGCCTTGCAAATCATCCTTAGTAGAAATCGGTGTACTTTAGCGAGGATTTGTGGTCTATCAAATCTCATGTAATGGTGGGGACGATCTTGAACATGTTCACATACTGCAGACTTCCCGGAACATCGATGCTTCAAAAAATCCGTAAAAATTAGTTTCATTTAATGTGTAGTCTTCGCTTCATCATCATCATCATTACAGCCTTTCACCATCATACAAGGAATGCTACAAAGCACGGTCCTGAGCCACCTGCATCCATCGACGTCCTGCATGTCTTACCAGGTCGTCACTCCATCTTGTGGGGGGTCGCCCTATACTTCGCCTACCGGTACGAGGCTGCCATTCAAGAACCTTTCTTCCCCATCGGTTGTCGGTTCTTCGAGCGATGGCCGGCCCACTGCCACTTCAGCTTACTAATCTGTTGGGCTATGTCGGTTACTCTGGTTCTACTGCGGATATACTCATTTCTAAGTTTATCACGCAGAGAAACCCCGAGCATAGCCCTCTCCATAGCTCGTTGAGCGACCTTGAGCTTCCTCATACGGAGTTAAATCCGTCGATTTACCTCTCGGTCAAAGTTGGACTTACCTAGTCGGACTATTTGTCCCAGGTAAACATACTCGTCAACAACTTCGAGCTTAGTGCTCCCAACAACTACCGGCATAGGTGTGACATGGACATTAAACATGATCTTTGTTTTGTCCATGTTCATTCCAAGACCTAGTCGTTGGGAGACACTATTGAGATCATTGAGCATGGTGCTTATGTCCTCCAGCGATTCTGCTATAAGTACTATATCATCGGCAAATCGAAGGTGAGTGATGTACCCACCATTGATGTTAATACCGTATCCTTTCCAGTCCAGAAGCTTGAAAACGTCTTCCAATGTAGCGGTGAAGAGTTTCGGGGATATAACGTCACCCTGTCTTACACCTCTCTGCAATTGGATAAGTTTCGTACTCTGGTTCTGTACTCGGATAGCCATCGTAGCTCTACTGTACAAATACTTCAGCACTTCGATATACCGACAGTCAACTTGGCACCGCTGAAGGGACTGTAGCACCGCCCAAATTTAGACGGAATCAAAGGCTTTCTCATAGTCCACATACGTCAGACATAGTGGCAAATTGTACTCCTCGGACTTCTGTACAATTTGCCGAAGGGTATGTATGTGGTCTATGGTGCTAAAGCCCTTTCGGAAACCGGCTTGTTCGGGAGGCTGGAAGTCGTCAAGTCTGCGCGCGAGTCGATTCGTAATGAGTCTCGAAAACAGCACGTAGACGCGGCTCAGAAGGGAAATCGGTCTGTAGTTCTTCAAAAGAGCGTTGTCACCTTTCTTGAAGAACAAGACCACCGCACTTCTGCTCCACGCCTCCGGTGTAATGCCACCATGGAGGACGGAATTAAAGAGCTTCTGAAGGACTTCAAGTACCGGTTTTCCACCCGCTTTCAGAAGCTCCGCTGTAATTCCATCCTCGCCTGGGGCCTTGCCGTTTTTAAAGTGCTGGAGAGCCATTCTAATCTCGCTCAGACTGACGTCCGGGATATCTTCGGAACAGTGTCGGATAAGACTCGCTCTTGGATCGTTACTCACACTTGTGTGTGGCTCCAACGATGACGTGTACAGCTGTCCATAGAACCTCTCAATCTTACTCAAAATCTCAGGTGCCCAGGAAACAATGCCACACTCGGTCTTCAGTTTTGACAGTTGGCTCTTTCTGGCAGACAGATCTCTGGCAAAGACTTTGGAGCCTTGGTTCCGCTCGATCGCTTCTTCAATACAGGCTGTATTGAAGTAGCGTAAGTCCCGCCGCATGCATTTGGAGATCTGTCTGTTCAGTTGCCTGTATGCTGTCAAATCTGTTGAAGAATGTAGCTTCATCTCCCGTCTAACAGCCATGAGATTGAGAGTGTGATCGGAGAGTTTTTGTGTTCTTCTGCGGCGGGTCTTGCAGAACTTAGCTCCGACCGCAAGATATGGGGTAGTGGATATTCTTAACCGCCACTACACGGCAAGTCTTCGCTTAAATATAAGAAATAATTATGAGATTGTGTTGTTATTCATTAGTGCACTCAAAAGGGAAAAATATCTTTTAATATATTTTAATAAAAGTAAAAGTCGGCTTCAAAGAACTCAAAGGACAATTTTTTTAATATCTTTGCACCGACTTCAGAATGTGAAATTACTTTCCCTCTTACGATACCCACAGGTTGGTACGGAGTAGTAGATACTCTTAAGCCTACCATAGGTTTGGTATCATGTTGTGGAAATATGCAAATAACAATTTCATTGATTATAACGGGAAACGATCCTGGGCTGCACATTACTGTGAAAATTACGAAAAGCTGCTCGTGGTAAATTTCTAATCCGGTAACTCAGGATTAGAAATTTACCACGAGCAGCTTTTCGTAATTTTACGGCTCTTATTTACAGTTTCGACTACTTTTAGTTAAAATTAGAGAAATCTTAAATAGTTGAGTCGAACTCCCATTCTGCCTGTGAGTCCGTTTCGATAGGCAGCACACTCTTACAAATGTCTGGCTCCAAAAGCAGTACACACACTTTGCTTTGCTTTTTTATGACAAACGAGCACGCCACCCACCTGATGGTAAATTGAGATGCGTTGTCACCCTTGAGGACTAAGATGGAGTGCCTCGTTTCCAATTAAAAAGGTGACCAGTTCTCTAGACTCACCATACGAAACACAGCAACATTAAGCTGCTATTTTACGCTGGTATTCTGTAAGAGCGTGGTCCTTCCACGGTAATAATAATAATTATTATTAATTTTTTACACTCTTCAGGTTCAATCAACCTCATCGTGGTTCCCTTGGGTTGCGCAATGTCTGGTGTGGTGACCTCCCCGTTAGGAAGGCGGCGCGCCATGCAAGCAGTCAACCTGCCGTTCTTCATAGCGTGGCTCATGTTCTACTTTTCCTCAACAACAGGGCACCTGTACGGCGCCTTGTTCCTCACGGGCCTGGCCGGGGGACTGCTTGAGGCACCCGTAAGTAAGTTGCGGAGTAACACTTCGTTTTTAGCTGACTTCAATAAATGTAAAATAAAACAGCAGCTTCATACTGCTGTGTTTTGTATGGTGTGTGTAGGAAACCGGAAACCCTTTTTACTGGAAACGAGGCATTTAATTCTAGTCCTCAGGTGACAACGCATCTGCATTTTGATTCTCAATTGAGGAGAAATGTAGATGTCTATGGTCACAGCATACACTTACTATCAGGTGGAGTGTGGAGTTAGAAATTCAACCGAATAGTTTTAATATACGTACGCGGACCATATACGTGCGTATGTGACGCAATATCTCTGATATCTGTGAACCGCTTTTAGTAATGTTTTCAGTAAATTTGCATATCTCAATGTACGTAGTACTATTATTTATTCTGTGCTCAAAGGTCTATTGAAAAAAATAAAAAATTACACAAAAAAAATCAATTTTAATTGGAACAAAAGATTTTACACCCATGGTTTGGAAAATGGTGGATGAAATGTTAATGTAACATTTTAAACGACATCCATTCATTCGATTCACAAAGACATAATTAACATTGACCGTGTGCTCGTTTCTCAATGTTATTCTATAAAAAAAAACGTTCAAATTGTAGATTTAGAGGTTTATGTATCTTTAATATAAAAATTACGTGTCACATTGTTTGTCCGCGATGAACTCCTAAACTACAGAAGTGATTTCAATGAAATTTTGCACACTCTGTGCAGTTTTGTCCAACTTGAGAGATAGGATAGTTTTTATCGTGATAAGTGACACTCAATATTTTTTTATTACGAATTTAAGGATTTTTTATATGAAGGGTCGTCGAAAAGGGCAGAACAACGTCTGGCTGGCCAGCTAGTAGTATATATATAAATATATGTCTCACTCTGTATCTTAAATGTGGTTAATATGAAGTGTGTTAACGCTGATTCTTAATGATAGGATTAAAAGTTGTGGTAAGTGTGATAAAAGGAAAGTGTTGTACGAAGAGAAAGGTTTTGAGGAAAGTCTGACGAAGCAACTGAACTTGGCTATTTTTGAGTTTAAAATGTTCGTAACAGTAAGAATTTATTATTAAATTATAATTATAAAATTGGGTAAAAGTTTTCGGGACAATTTTCAAATAAGGGAATAACTGAACGTCTTTTTTTCTATGGGATCTTTCGTCAAGACCATAAGGCCGCTTCTTTCCAATAAAAAAAAAACTCATATAAATACAATTTTTTGTTATGACTAAATGTTGTTATCGCGCTTCACCATCACTGCATTCGAGACACGTATCCGTGACCATGTAAGTATTAACTTGTTGTAAGGTAGGGTTGCCAACCGTCCTGTTTTCTATGGACATGTCCTAGTTTTTGTAATGTCTTAGGATGTCCTGGATAGTTTTTAAGCAGCTCCCTGAGTTTTTAAAGTGCCCTGATAAGGTCATGTATTTTTCAGATCACGACATTGAAATTAACGAAAAAAAATTATTTGACGAGATAGACAGCGAATCTATATAGCGTGGCGAAATCAAACGAAAACGAACCGATACTTGCATACATAGTACATACATTCGCTATGTTTTCTGTTCGGTTCGCAGTTATGTTTGACATGGCCTTTACTTCGTCCTGTTTTTAACCTGAATTGTCCCGGTTTTTCCAACTCCAAATCATAGTCTTTTTTTTAATTTGGGGTTGACAACCTTATTATAAGGCGATAAAACGCTCTGCTTGAATTCATTTGCTTTTACTACTCATTTCAAATCAAATGCATTATGATATATGTAACAATTTGGGTTTTTTAATTGGATTACTTTATAATGAATAAAATTTACATGAATATATTTTAATGGTTTTTTTGAAAAATCTTTTTCGAGAAAAATATTTTGTTAATAAATTTTTGTGGGAATAATACAATACAATAAGATTCTTAGGTGGTAGAGCCACGCTGCAGCTATGTTGTAGTCGTAGCACGAATGAGTCGGCCCGACCGGGTAAGGACCACGCTCTCACAGAATACCAGCGTGAAATAGCAGCTTAATGTTTTTTTTTTTACTGGAAACGACGCATTCTATCAATGTGTTTGCATTTTGACTTAATCGAGGATAAATGTAGATGTTTATGGGCCTTACCATCCACTTACCATTATATGGATTAAGTGCCAGTTTGTCACACATAACCGTTTAAAAAAATTGCTTAGTAATCAAATAAATCCTTGTAAGGTGCTAACGTACGTCGCGGAGATCACGCAGCCGTACCTGCGCGGATCCCTGTCTGCCACCAGCTCCATGTGCATCATCATCGGCGTCTTCACTCAGTTCCTGTTCGGCTTGCTGATGTACTGGCGCACCGTGGCCCTTGTCAACATCACGTTTACGGTACGACTTTTCAAAATGTTCGAATGCGATTTTCTTGAATACTGACTGAGGCGAAGTAGTTCAGGGATTATATGAAAATAAATTTCACAGATCGGTAGCAACTCGGGTGCTGATTTACCACGTGTTTGGTTGGATTTAGCTTTGAGTGAAATTTGCTTTTTTTTATATATTACGACAGTAGTTTTAGTAGTTACAGTATTGCAATACAACCTATAAAAGTCCACTGCTGAACACAGGTCCCTCCCGTGGATTGCCTCATAGGGAGGATTTTGCCATAGTTGCCAAGCTTCGCAGGCGGGTTAGTAAAGGCAGTTTTTGTTGTTATTTTGATTTGTTGTCAGGAAGTTGCTGAAGCCATCTCTTAATTTCCATCTGTCGCTTCTTATGACATCAACGGGACGATATGGGCTAGTACATATTCTTACACCGCCACTACACAGTTTTACAGGATGCTATCAATAAACCGCAAAACTGTTTGAATTAATGATGGCAGACGTCTATAAGCGTACAACTGATTTCATATATGTTTTACTTAATACATACTTTTTTTTATAACAGATCATCTTCGTAAAAGCGACTTGACGACAAATAAGTAAATAAGTTTAAAAATAGGTACTTTTGATACCAAAAAGGGTTCTTATTAATAAAAAAAAGGTCGATCTACCCACATGAGTGCAGTGTCATGTACCTACGTGGTAGCGACGTGCTCGTGCAAAACCATGTACACTTTATATTCTCTTGGATTTTCATCCGACTACCCCAGAAGGAGGTAGTTTTTCGAGTGTATATGTGTATGCCTGTTTCTAGGTTATAGGGTATAAAATTTTTATCTTTCCGCAAACTTTTAACCTTTAACTTTTAACCTTTTAACTTTTGACCTTGTTTATTTACACAATACATAATATCCCTCTCAACAGTGTCGAAGCTAGAGTTCCAAACTAGGGCAAGCCCATGATATGATTATATTGTTTTTAGCAGTTTTTAAAAATACACCAATCTTGATCTGTCTCCACTCTTCAGTTTCATATTCAGTGCTGTCGAGGACGTCTTTAACAAAGCATACAGAAGGCATACTACTGCTAGATACATTGTGTTACTATGTGCATACCTTCGGTAGCTTTGAAAGAAGCCGTTTGGGTTTGCTTGAGTGAAGGAAAAATATATTTAATTAGATAATAATTAAAAAAAAATTATATTCTAAATCGAATCGTCTCTCTTTCTTAAAGAAAGATTTGATTCACCAACATTTTACGTGGACCTACCACGTAAAATGGTGGTGAACGTTTTAATTGTACCAATAACTGTTTATGTGGATATGAGCTGTTTTTTTCTCAACAAAGTTTAAAGAATTTTCTTCGCCGATTAGCACTTTAACATACTTAAATTCATCACAAGGAACACTATTATCCTCCATTTTCACTAAAAATCTTTAAAAAAAACATAAATTTTCAACTCGCAATATTCATTCGCTCAAGTAAACACAGAGTAAACATTGAAATGTGAAGTGAACTTGCAAACGTATCGCCCAAACGCCCCTAACTTCAGACCAAAAGCCCGGCTTAATAGCTCCATACTAATTGCTATAATATAAACAATCGTAGAACATTTTACCACAGGTTAGAAAGGGAGCGATCGTCTTCTCGAAAGCCCGGTAAAAGCCCAAGCGTACGAGAGGGACGACTAATCGCTCAACTCAACTACTTTTTTATGACAGCAGTATCGCGCAGTTTTGCCGCGACGATTAATGACGTGTGTAGAAAAGAGGAGCGCGCGGGAAATTTGAAATAGATTGAAACAGTTTGCGAGTTATTTTATTCGTTGATATTATTGATTGAACAGTTTGATAAGGCAAGCCCAGCTTCTCGGCTTCTATGGAGGCTTCGCTACCACCTCTCGAGTGAGTATAAATGTGAATAATTTTTTTCTTACGAGAGGAGAAAAAAATTATTCACATGTATGCTCACATACTAGAATGCCAAATTACTATTTTAATAAAATTATAAATATAATAAAAATAATCAGGTAGATAGTTTATAGATATAGTAGGTAGTAGATAGGTTTTTGGCTAAATCGCACTTTAAATAGTGTTACGAGCTTGAGGTTCGAGACAATTAAAAACTGTTAGTTACCAAAATTGACACTTTAACTACAGAACACTAATTACAACTCAAAACCACACTAATAACAAAACACAGTTTTACTACTGATCATTTTAGTTCGCAGAATTATTCGCTTGTATCGCCAACTCAACACTGACTGGGTCGCGGGCTATACCGGCCTTATATAGGACCTCAGATAATTTCCAGAACCTCCTACTGTAGAAACATCGAGAATGTTCGAGTGACTCGACTGACTAGGTGTCGATAGTTCTAGAATGATCTTCCATGGAAAATTCTAGAAGGCTCTTGACTTTCCTAGTTCTGCTACTCGATAGTAGAGGGCGCTAGTGGTAACTAGTGTTGCTATGTACCAGGCATTAATGGTGGCGCTCAGCAATAGCTATTATTCTAACACTATTATGGAATCAGTTTTATTTTACTTTACAGATCCTAGCCGTGGTTGCACTGTTCTTCGTTCCCGAGTCCCCGCATTGGTTGGTTTCCAGAAAACGCCACGCTGACGCTCGTAAGGTATAGTAAATAATAACCTTACACATAAATATGTATCACAATCACTAGAGCCCATCACAATTCCACTGCTAAGGCCTCTCCCACAGCCACAAAATTTAGTCCTGAGCCACCTGCATCTATCGAATGTGAATCAATCCACCTGTGTGTCTTCCAATAGTAATTTAAGATAACTTCATTCATTCATTCTTTCTACATGAGCCGTAGTAGCTTAGGGGCAAAGCACTCGCCATAAATTCCACAGTACGCAAGTAACGCAGGATCGATCCCCGCCGGCACCGCATGAGATTGTTAACAGCAAGTTTAAGTGCTGATTTAACACGTGCTCGGCGGTGAAGGAAAACATCAAGAGGAATCCTGCATGTCTGAGAAATAAGAAAAAATATTCGAAGATATGTGAAGTTCGCCAAGTAAAATATAATTCGAAGATATGTGAAGTTGGAGCAGCGCGGCGGGCATTTCCTTGCCCTAAAACCCCCTCACAAATGAGCGGAGGTCTATGCCCATCAATGGGACGTATATAGGTTGTAACTTTACGCTAACTTAAGTTTTATTCGTTCCACATGACCTCATGTAGAAAAAATGAATGGGGAAAGAGTAACAAAGCAAATTTATGCCGCAGAAGTCAGTGGGACAGTTGGCAAGGGACGCCCTAGGCGGAAGTTTAACGACCAAATCGGCGATGGCCTTTACTGACGAGCATGTATACGTAGGTATATGGAGGTGAATGAGGCGAGAGAAGTGTGTTAGGATGGTGCCAAATGGTAGTACGGACTACTGTGTCTTTGCCTACCCCTCTGGATAACATGCGTGAACGTTTATGTATGTATGTATATGTTAGTCATTCATTACAGCAAATCAAAGTTCACTTACTGCTGAGTATCCCCCTTATATATATATAAATTATATAAAAATGCCTCTTATATATATATATATATATATATATATATATATATATATATATACATATATATATATATATATATATATATATATATATATATATATATATATATATATATATATATACATATATATATATATATATATATATATATATATGTGTGTGTGTGTGTGTATGTGTGTATATGTATATGCCTCTTATATAACTCTTATATGAATTTATGTTTCAGAAGTGAACGGCAGAGTCGGGAAGGGACGCCCTAGACGAAGATGTATCGACCAAATCGGCGATACGTTGAAAATGGGCCAGATTAGGAGTACCCTTAACCGACGGGCGTGTATGCGTAGATATATGGATGTAGAGGAGGCGAGAGAGGTGTGTCAGGATCGCACCAAATGGAAGTCCGTAGTCTCTGCCTACCCCTCTGGGTGACAGGCGTGAGGGTTTATGTTATGTTATGTTATATAAGGGGGATATTATATAAATTATATTTTTTATAGGTTTAGAGTGACAAACGAGCACACAGTCCACCTGATGGTAAATGATTGCTGTGACCCACAGACACAGACATCTACCTTCTCTTATCATCTATCTTCGATTACGAATCAAAATGCAGATGCGTTGCCACTCGTGAAGACTAAAATGAAATGCCTCTTGTCCAGTAAAAAGGGTCTCCGGTTCTCTACACTCACCACACGGAACACTGCAGCGTTAAGCTGCTATTTTACGCTTGTATTCTGTGAGAGCATGGTCCTTCCCCGGTCGAGCCGAACCATTCGTGCTATAACTATACCAGTAATATAGCTGCATCATATCCCTATAGATATATCTAGTAGTGGATATTTTATACCACCACACGGTATATACAGTGCTTTTAAACAGGTAATGTATTACGCGTACACCAAAATGCATTTCACCAATTTTTTATTGTAACGAAATAAATTCCTACTAACGCTTATGTCCTCAACCATTTCACTTATAGTGACTGTTTCAGAGTCTGCAATGGCTGCGCGGCTGGACCACGCCGCAAGCTGTGGAGGCCGAACTAAAAGATATACAAGCATTGTTCAAAACAAAAAGAGGTAGGCAATTTGTTGCAAATTTTAGGCGGCAGGCAGGAATCGTTTTTTAACTAGGAGCCAGTCTGGATAGCAGAAGGCTATAGAGGGCCAGTATCATTAAATGCTGTGAGGTTGTGAGGCATTTCACGTCAGTCCTCAGAGGTGATAAAGCAATTGTTGTTGTTTGAAGTTGCCTGCAGGTGTCTATTTACAGTAGTAGCCACTTACAGGTGTTTTTTTATAGGATAGGGTGACAAACGAGCACACACTCCACCTCGATAAAGACTCAAAATGCAGATGCGTTGTCACCTGTGAGAACTAAGATGGAATGCCTCTTTGCCAGTAAAGTTTCGTACTCTGATTCTGTACTCGGATAGCCATCGTAGCTCTACTGTACAAACTTCGATATACCGACAGTCAACTTGGCACCGCTGAAGGGACTGTACCACCGCCCAAATTTAGACGGAATCAAAGGCTTTCTCAAAGTCCACATACGCAAGGCAAAGTGGCAGATTATACTCCTTTGTCTTCTGTACAATTTTCCGAAGGGTATGTATGTGGTCTATGGTACTAAAGTGCCACCATGGAGGACGGAATTAAAGAGCTTCTGAAGGACTTCAAGTACCGGTTTTCCACCCGCTTTCAAAAGCTCCGCTGTAATTCCATCCTCACCTGGGGCTCTACCATTTTTAAGGTGCTGGAGAGCCATTCTAGTCTCGCTCAGACTGACGTCCGGGATATCTTCGGAATAGTGTCGGATAAGACTTACTCTTGGATCGTTACTCACACTTGCGTGTGGCTCCAACGATGACGTGTACAGCTGTCCATAGAACCTCTCAATCTCACTCAAAATATCAGGTGTCCTGGAAACGATGTTGCCACACTTGGTCTTCAGCTTTGACAGTTGTCTCTCTCTGGCAGAAAGATCTCTGGCAAAGACTTTGGAGCCTTGGTTCCGCTCGATTGCTTCTTCAATACAAGCTGTATTTAAGTTGCGAAGTCCCGTCGCATGCATTTGGAGATCTGTCTATTCAGTTGCCTGTATGCTGTCAGATCTATTGAAGAATATCCCGTCTAACAGCCATGAGATTAAGAGTGTGATCGGAGAGTTATATATATATTGATATTTTCAAAAGTTATCGTGTTTACGCCTCCATGCGGACTTGATAAATCAATACAGTATGCCACTAGACCGCTTTTTATATAAAAATAGCAATTGATCGATTTAAAAATAATAATAATAAGTTCAACAATCATTTATCTTTCCGACAATGTGCTTTGACAATATCATTTAGTACACATAATTGATATATTTATATGTTCAAAATTAGATACGATTTCATGCGACAAATCGTTAGAATTTTGATTTTTAGGCGCTAGTAGAACATACCTACCTACGCGCTTTGCGCTTAAGGCATGGCATGCAATTATTCCAACTGTTCTTCTAGCGGAGGCTGATGACGTCGAGGAGCTTTGGACCGAGAAATTATCCCACTACCTGGACCGCAGTTTCCTCGTGCCTTTCTTTCTCGTCAGCTTTAGCTTCTTTGTGGGCCACTTCAGCGGGATGACCACTTTACAGGTAACGCTTTTTCTATATTTTTCTCATTATTACATTAAAATCCATATATCACTATCTATATAATAATAAAACTGTAATACGATGATTCCTGTACATTGAATTTTTTTTTGAATTTTGAATTGGATTACATTATGTTAACGATACAAATGCCAAAACAATTTTTTTGGAAATGTCTCTCTCTGTCTGAACACGCATCACGCAAAAACCTGTGAAAGAAATTTGGAGGAGACTTTCACTATAGTTTTGTGTAGAGGTCGAACCGCTGGAATAAGTATCTATCGTCACGCTATCTATTATAGGAGTAGGGCAGTAGGCATAATATTCTCTTTTGTAGCTACAAAAAGTCTTAAAATTAACATTGCAATAAGATTGAAAAATGACACTATCCGATTTTAAGTTGTTCTTATATAATTTCTACCCGTTATTTTCTCAATATCATATTTTTTATTTTAGTTTAATAATAATAATCAACTAATTACTATACTTTCATCCTAGATGGCGCTATAGATATTTTATATCTCGGTATGGTTTTATTTTACGCGAGTCCTAGTTTTTAGTAGATCAATAAGTAAATTAATAAGTAGAAGGATGTAGGCTATGCTAAGAAGGAAACTATTCATGATCTTCAGATGCACATGCATTTTCACACAGGCAAGATCAGGCAATATAATTAGTCATATTCCTATTCTCCGCTAGGAGTAAAAGTATTCTGTGATTCATACACAAAATTACAAATGTGAATTGTGAACTTTCATAATATAATATATTTACTGTTAATGCGTTGTAATATATTATATAATAGTTAATAGCTTATACAGGTTGGGCTATTTAACTAGAGAACTATAGGTCATTTAGAGATTGGAAAATTTGATGACATTTCCGATGTGACAGAAAGTTAGTTTTCACTTTTTAGTGCAGTTTAGGCACATGAGTAAAGATACGGTACGGTTTCTTTACTCATATGGTTTAGGGGAGTTCATCGCGGAGAAACAATGTCACACGTAATTGTAAGAGCGTGCGTATAGACCAGGGGTTATCAAAGTGGGCGGCGCGCCACCCAGGGGGGACGCAGAGACCTGCAAAGGGGGGCACGAGCTAGCTGCGTAGTTAGGGACCTAACGACCAAGAAACGTCCGTAGGAAGGTGCGGTGTATGTACACCAAAATAATTGGTGAAACAATGTTTTGAGCCAAATATTTCACAATTTGACCCAAAATAACAGAGGAAGCACTTCCCTTTTCCTGTACATATTTGTGCGAAAGGATATTTTCTGCTTTTGTGGCAATCAACATAAAGTCCAGGAATAAACTTATTCGTAACATTAACATCGATGTGCGGTAGTGCTTTGCGTTGTGCGGTTTCTGTGGCTAAGCCGTGAATCGGAAACCTCATTAAAACCATGCAAGCTTGGATGAGATTAAACAAGAAGTAGTATTATATAATTAAGTAGTTTTTGTATGATATTATATAACTTTTAAGCGTAAAAATTTGATGTTATTGAGCAGTACAATTTTTTCTAACCTGATAGTAATCTAAAATTATCTATTATATATTATTTTTTGGTCGAAAGGGGCGCGTCAGAAATAAATTAGGGAACGGTCTAGACTTTTTACGCCTGCTGGTGGCAAACATCTTAACTAGTTGGGATCGTTTATTATATTTTAACACGTGATTTATTTGTTAATAATTATTAATAAAATATATCGATATTATTTTAATAATACCTACTTCAAGAAGAAATTGCTGTATCGGTGACTGTAATAATATCATCGAATATCATCTCTAATAATTCTATGAATAATATACATCACGTCAAAAATATGCAATCGATGTGAAAGTGAAATTTTATAAATTCCCAGAGAGCATGTTTGAAGCTGCATGGCAAATAGCAAAACGTAAACAGTGGATCATAGCAGTAAAAATGATGTGTAAGTCCTAAATTAATTAAAAATTTATTACAAAACTAAAATAAATTTTAGATTAAACTCGAGGCATGTAAAAAACTATCATTTTGATAACATAGTTCTTAATATTTTTGATATTTATTTTGTAATAAAAACTTAACCTTTCATTTTTTTTTGGTTTCAGAGTAAATCCAAAAGTCCGGGCACCAAATAATGGTGGGTTGTACTTGTACGCCAAGTGGATTTGTAAGTTTTATCTCTAAATATTATGGTGGTCGAACTGGTGATTGCTTCATAACGAATGATTGTGGTTTAATTGATTTAATTGAGCCTGCTAGGTCTTGCTGACTAAGGCTTTCCACAGATAAAAACCCAATTAGAGAATAAAAGTGTTGTATTTGTGGTGCCTCCTTTTGGTCACAAAGATCAGTTCACCCCAGAAGAAATAGACGAAACCTACAACATTGCTTCTGAAAGGATACATATTGAACGGGTTTATCAACGAAACAGGGACTTAAAGCATTGATTTAATATTTTGTGTAACTCAATGACTTAAAGTACCAAATTCTTTATTTCCCCATAATGTTGAGATAGCGTTTGTTATCTGCGCCTTGATTAATGTTCAGAAGCCATTGTTTAAGGATAAAGAACAGAAAGACTTTTTCTGAAAATTGTAAATAAAATATTGAATTTGGAATTGTATAAGATAAAACTATACATACTATTTATAAGTGTTTTTATTTTCAAAAATAACGAAACTTTTATTAACGATACCTATCGATAGACAAAGATACATCATTAGTTGCGGATTGATTGCTACTGAGCGCTCATTGCTGTGAGCACGTGTCTTACCGATATCGAAAATGAACACACTAGCATGTGTGTCAACGTTTACACTTGCGGTTAGTGTGGAAATAATAAAAACAATTATGAACAATTCAAAATATTAATGAGACGTTTTTCTTGTCTCTAACAATTGCCGTGTAATTTGTGCACAACCTAAAACACAGGAAGCCATTTTTGCCACGAAAACGTGTAAATTTGTACGTGGTAGAGTCATGTAGCAGCTATATTATAAGAATGGTTGTAACACGAATGGGTCGGCTCGACCGGGGAAGGACCACGCTCTCACAGAATACCAGCGTAAAATAGCATCTCAGTGCTGCTGTGTTTCGTATGATGAGTGTAGAGAACCGGAGACCCACCCTATTTAGTGGAAAAGAGGCATTCCATCTTAGTCCTCACGGGTGACAACGCATCTGCATTTTGTACAGTTTCTATAAAGTATAACTAAACTAAAGTAAACTAATAATTGTAACATTTGCTATAAAGAAAAACAAAATTAAACATTCCTAAAAACATTGCTAGTAGGCCTTATTTTACTATGGTAGGGTAATAAGGCATACTGCTTTAACGAAATCAAATAATCAATTTACACGTAATATATTTAATATTTGTGATCAATAACACATGAATGCAGCAATTAAGGCTTAAAATTCAAAAAAATTTATAAATTGCCTCGCCTAAAAGTACTTAAAGTCATTAGTATAATGATGAACAAACTGACAAACAAACTCACTCCTCGTGATTATCATCAGTGCGTTGGTTGTTATCAATCTAACACTCAACTCAACTCATTGAGTTGAGTTGAGTGTTAGATTGAGTTGAGAATTGAGTTTATTGTTGGCTTGAGTGTCTTCCCAACTCAAATTCCGTCACAGAGGCAAGTCTTAACGGAGATTAGTCCAAACGCACTTCGTCTTCTAGCCGTAACAGGTGGACTGTGTGCCGTTTCACCCTTATTATATTAAGAACAATATTAAAAACAAAGATTTCGAAAAGAATTAAATTATCTGAGTGACACTGCAGACGTACGCAGTGTCGATCTTCCAAGCGCTGGACGCACCGCTGGACAAGTACCGGGCGACGCTGATCTTGGGCGCGGTGCAGCTGGCCGGTGCGGGCGCTTGCGTGCTGCTGGTGCGCATCACCGGCAAGCGGACCCTCACCTTGGTGTCAACCGCTGGGGCGGCAGCCTGCTGCCTTCTGCTCGCCGCCTACGACTTGCACATGAAACTGGTACGCATAATGATTTCTTATATTACGCGAAGACTACACATTAAATGAAACTAATTTTTACGGATTTTGTCGCGTTTAAATTAACTTATTAAGTCCCGACGTTTCGGGTGCTTTACAGCACCTATAGTCACGGGAGGGACTGCTAACCCTGCTGCCTTCTGGCTGGCTGCCATCTGCTTGGGATCCTATAATTAATAAAACTAAATCCAACCCAAGCATACCACTACAAGACTCCAAGATACTGTAAGCCCATTCTCCGTAGATAGGACTAAAAATTAATATTCAAAAACTGAAGGTAGCCGGGCTAACTATGACATCGGGACGTCAAATACCTCAGTCCCTCCCGTGACCATGGGTGCTGTAAAGCACCCGAAACGTCGGGAATTAAAAAATGCGTATGTGTCGTGGAACAATCGGTCAGATAAACGTAGATATTATATTATTGGTTAACAAATACAAATGTATGAATTACTAGCGTCTGTTAAAATAAAACGTCAACCCGCCTACCAACCGTGGCAAGTATGGCAAAATCCCTCGATGAGGCAATCCGTGTTGGAGGCCTATGTTCAGTAATAGACTTTACAGGGTTGATGATGAAAGAAAAGAATGACATTGATTAATTATCAATCACCGCATCAACATATTATAACAAAAGTAAACTGTATCATGGAGCCGTTAACAAATGAAACTGCACATGTACAAACATCTCAACGTGGAATAACCATTTAGAGAATAACAACTCTTGTTCTGTTTGAGATTTGAATTACTACTAGCTGCTGCATTACCTAGCCGTCTGTCGTGTCTGATCTTAAGGCGCAGGTTGAGCAGTCATTATTTGTGCGGTTTTTAGGAGCTATCTACTTTTTATTTAAAATATATATCAACAAATAAAAAACACATTATATTTCTACATAATCTTGATTCCATAAAAGCTATATCCAATTTTTTTTAAAGGAATAAATATTAATATAATCTCCTTACTACAAAAGCACATAAATGTGAAATTATTATTGATAACATGCATCTCCTCGTAAAGTAAGTATTATTTTATTTTGCGATTTACACCAATGGATAGGCAATTTATTAATGAACATTTCTATAGTAATTTTTTGTTTCAAATGACCAAAATTTGATTTTATTAAGAAATTATTTTAAAATCTGGGCGTATTCATAGCCCGCGCGATAGCAGGCCTCAGTGAGCGGCGAGCTCTTGCGTGTGAAACCCAAACGAGCGCGGCCACACAACTGTTTTGCCTTACTTTTATACATTACTAGCTGGTACCTGGCATATTGCTGCTGCAAAAGAAATAATTGTGGAAATATTTTATTTTAAATTTGGAAAAGTTATATTAGTTTATTTCGGAATGATAATACATTCGTTGAAGTCGAATGATATATAAGTAATTTTGAAATAAATTTTTCGACACGATACGCAACGCACGGCCCCTTACTGTAAGTTAATTATACTATGCCTATAACCTTCGCGCAAGTACAAGCAATAATGCGGTATGGTGGCGCATAAAATACAAAAAAGCTAATATTAATATTTATATATTCATTTTGTAGGTACTTGTGACGTTTGTACTTTGTCGTAAGTATAATGTGACAATACTATCATAGAAGATAAGTACCATTATTTTCTTGGCGGTCTTAAATAAATATACTGTTCCCGTGAACTAATTTCTATGCCCACTGCAGCACGCCAGGCCGCACTCAACACTCCTGGTGAACGGAAACTTAGAAGAGAACCGGACTCTGGTAGATGTCCCAGCTGCACTTGACACTGTGGTAAGAGCGCTCTTTGTGTGTGACTATTATATTTATTAATCTATTCTTTATTGCATTTTGTAGTACAAAATAATGCAAAGGGCGGACTTGATGCCTTTAGGCATTATCTACCAGCTAATCAACCCATGGAGTGGTGAGAATTAGGTGTATCAAAATTAAACTACATTACTATACCTACTAATCCTCTATTTTATATTTAAAAAAAGGCAATTAAAACTTGTATTCATTATTGACTTACGTGTAGATACGTATACCCCATAATATCAACCCGTGTGTGTCGTAAGAGGCGACAGAGGGAAACAAATCAGATATCAGATGGACATCAGCGTCTTTCTATTAACGACCAAAAATTAAAAGAAAACTAAGGTTTCCAACCAGCTTGCCAAGCGTGAGAACTATGGCAAATATCTTCCCTACGAGGAAATCTATGGGGGAGGCCAGTGTTCAGCTGTGAACTTTAATAGGCTGTATCGGTACCGGTAACGATGTAGTTGTTGCTGTAATTTAAACTAATCTGACTGAAAAAAGACGTCCCCATTCATTCCATCAGTCAGTCCAGCCTATCGAAAGAACACTGCTGAACGGAGGCCTCTTCTATAAATTGCTTATTTAGGGAATATTATCCATAATTAATAGAATCAGGCGTTACTTTGCGGAAATCCATTATATAAAAGCTTTTAGAAAAATTTACTTCGCAAATATCCTATAAATAATATAAATAATAAATATAATATATAAAATGATAACCGAGCGGTTAGCCACCGTAAAGTCTATATCACCTGAGGATGCCTCGTGTAGAGGCGAAACACGTGTCGTATTGTCGTCAGTGGTGTGTCTTGCCTAGTGTAGTGGCGTTGGGAGTAGCGGTGCTGGGATTAGTGGTGACGGGGATAGTGCACGCAATTGAGGGAGGGCGGGAGGTGCTCTTCATACTAGGTAAGACACATCATTTTATTTTATAACGCGGATATTTGCGAAGTAAATTTTTCTAAAAGCTTTTTTAAATATTATCCATAGTTGCTATGCTTGGACGGTAGGTTGGCAACCGTAAATAAAACCGTAAAAACCGTAGTATTTTACTATTATACGTTTTTATTAGGAACATGCTTCTATCTATCTCCAGTTTCAGTTTCCCTGTGACACCTCTTGGGAAACTTATGGGATGACATCAGGGAATACTTCATCTAGTAGGGGAATCTTTTTTCCCCGTTACTTATCGACTCTTTGAGCTTGTAAATAAGTACGTACTCAGTTATTCATTATAAAATTAATCACCCGCAGAAGAACCCATACTCCTGGATCCCCACATCCTTGTTGATGTTACTGGCGCTTATCACGCATACCGGCATCAGGCTGCTACCTTGGATCCTCATTGGAGAGGTATGGAATAATTCGGTTTATCAATAATGATTTGTTTATATTTACGTGAACGCGCACATTGAATAAAACTATTTTTACGAAATTATTACGGATACGGACGTTTCGGTTGCCTTGAGCACTCGGAGTTTCGCCGGAGTACCATCAGATTCCTACGTGGTAGAGCCATGCTGCAGCTATATTATGGTTGTAGCACGAATGGGTCGGCTCGACCGGGGAAGGACCACGCTCTCACAGAAAACCATCGTAAAATAGCAGCTTAACGCTGCTGTGTTTCGTATGGTGAGTGTAGAGAACCGGAGACTCTTTTTACTGGCAAAGAGGCATTCCATCTTAGTCCTCACGGGTGACAACGCATCTGCATCTTGAGTCTTTATTGTGGATAGATGTAGATGTCTATGGGGCACAGTAACCACTTACCATCAGGTGGACTGTGTGCTCGTTTGTAACCCGATCCTATAAAAAAAATTTTATTAAATTAAAAAGCTGAATTTTTAATTACGAGGCATGAGAATGTACCATCGTTAACTTCGCGTTAGCGGGCTGCCACTAAGAATTGCTAGAAAAAGCCACTAGTTTTGGACCCGGCCTGGGATTTGAATCCCATGAGCAGCAGTAGTGCTTACTGTGATATACTATAATATAATGTAAATGTAGGTCAAAAACCAACGGTGGCGTCTCACTCGCACTACCGATCTGTCATGGGTTTTTTTCATAGGAGAGGGGGCAAACGAGCATGCGGCTCACCTGATGGTAAGTGACTACCGCCGCCCATGAACAACAACAACACCAGGGGAACCAGGGGAATTGCAGATGCGTTGCCGGCCTTTTAACATGGAGTAGGCTCTTTTCTTGAAGGTCCCTAAGTCGTATCGGTCCGGAAAAATCGCTGGTGGTAAGCTATTCCACAAGAAAGTTGTGCGAGGAAGAAAACATCTTCTAAATCGCACAGTGGTGGACCGCCAATGATCCAGATAGTGTGGATGGTATCGAGAGTTCTGCCGCGATGTGCGTTCGTGAAATTTGACGGCTGGAATTAATCCGAACAATTCCTCAGAGCACTCCCCGTGGTAAATGCGAAAGAAAATGCAAAGACAAGTACACAAAGTATACAAAGGCGAGTACACGTTCCCTTTGAGCTGTGTATCTATTTACTGATAGTTTTTTTTTTATAGAATGAGAGTGACAAAAGAACACACAGCCCACCTACATCAATATCCAATTAAGAATTGAAATGCGTTGTCACCCTTGAGGATTAAGATGAAATGCCTCATTTAAGTAATAAGGATCTCCGGTTCTCTACCCTCACCATACGGAACACATTAGCATTAAGCTGCCATTTTACGCTGGTATTCTGTTAAATTGTGGCCCTACCGATGCGTGCTACAACCATAATAGCTTCGTGGTTCTCCCACGTTTAAAGTATTTAGTAAATTAATACTACTTGTAAATTTGCATCTTATTTGATTTAATTATTGTTATTTGTTTTACTAAAACACTAGACCTTAATTAGTGGACAGAACACATTCGACAACTAGACCAAGCAGGCGCGTCGTTCGCACTATTCATGGTGCGTTATGGTAACTATAATGGTGTCGCAGGTGTTTAGTGCCAAGACGCGCTCGGGAGGCGCCGGGTTGACCAGTGGCTTGGGCTACATGTTCGGTTTCCTCACCAACAAGATCTTCATCAACATGGTGGATGTGCTCTCCATATGGGGCACCTACGGCTTCTACGGCCTGATCTGGTAAGTCAGTAATTTTTAGGGTATCGCTACCAATTTGGCGAAAGGGAAACTACAACTGTCTTTGTCTATCTATTCCAGAGATCTTTTAACGAAGTAAAATTTTTGCACCACAGTTTATTTTATATACGAGTACGACTCACAGCTGGGTGTAGCGGTGTTGTCGCCTCGCCACAAGGAAATCGCACTTAACTGAAGCCTAAATCACGCTATCAAAGTTCCTAATTTCTGAGCTAGGTATATATAGATTAGCTCTATACCATAGATAAGCTAATATGATCGGGAACTCTATACTAACACAGCAGCGGGAGATCTTCCCTTTTCCTACAACGGCCCAAGTGAAATGTATGAGTGAATGAAATGTATGAGAGTCCCCTACATCATACAGGTTTCTGTGTTTGTTTCACTTCACTGTGTGTTGACGGACTTACACGTCTTCGATATATTAAATTCCTCAGACATGCAGATTTACTCGCGATGTTTTCCTTCTCCGCTGAGCACGCGACTAATCAACATTACACATGGCAATTATCTAATAACCATTTCACTGGTGCCGGCGGGGATTGAACCTAGGTTTTGCTCGCGTACAGTGAATACTATTGCGAGTGCCTAATCACTGTGATATTAGAGTAATTGTGGTTTTTTTTCTTCATAAAACTAAAGTGGAAAACGAATTTACATCAAGCCTATTTGAGTATTTGTATAATATGAAAATAAATAATCATACAACTGAAGTGATAAACGAACTTGCAGCCCACCTGACTTGTAAGTCCATGGAGAGCTGCAAACTGATTCAAACAAACAGTGCTACAGGTGTGCTGTTACCTTTGAGAACTGACATGGAATGTCCCACAACCTGTTATTATACCGGTTCTCAATATCCTTCAGAGCTGAACACAGCAGCGTCAGCACTGCAGAAGACTACTAGACAGAAACGGTTTATTTTATAGGATAGGGTGACAAACGAGCACACGGTCCACCTGATGGTAAGTGGTTGCTGTGGCCCATACACATCTACATCTATACTCGTTTGCGAATCAAAATGCAGATGCCTTGTCACCCGTGAGGACTAAGATGGAATGCCTCGTTTTCAGTAAAAAGGGTCTCCGGTTCTCTACACTCACCATACGAAACATAAGCAGCGTTAAGCTGCTATTTTACGCTGGTATTCTGTGAGAGCGTGGTCCTTCCCCGGTCGAGCCGACCCATTCGTGCTAAAACTATACTACTAATATAGCTGCAGCATGGCTCTACCACGTATAAATACCACCTAGTAACCAAATACTGTGCGACCCAAAAATACATTTTCCGGATCTCGAATCTTGGCCGGGAACAAAGTTTGTCGTGGGGGAGTTTTATCTAGCTGCCAGCGCTAAATACCTCTTCCAATACCGCCGTAGTTTTGGAGATAGCGGGTCTTCTTGCTTCACATCTTTCATCATCATCATTACAGCCTTTCATAAGTCCACTGCTGAACATAGGCCTCCCCCAAGGAATGCCACAAAGCACGGTCCTGAGCCACCTGCATCCATCGACTTCCTGCATGTCTTACCAGGTCGTCACTCCATCTCGTGGGGGGTCGCCCTACACTTCGCCTACCGGTACGAGGCTGCCACTCGAGAACCTTGCTTCCCCATCGGTTGTCGGTTCTTCGAGCTATATGACCGGCCCACTGCCACTTCAGCTTACTAATCCGTTGGGCTATGTCGGTTACTCTGGTTCTACTGCGGATGTACTCATTTCTAAGTTTATCACGCAGAGAAACTCCGAGCATAGCCCTCTCCATAGCTCGCTGAGCAACCTTGAGCTTCCTCATACGGCCAGCAGTGAAGGACCACGTCTCAGTTCCGTAAGTCATCACTGGCAATACGCACTGGTTGTACAATTTCGTTTTAAGGTTTTGAGGTATGTCTGACGAGAAGATGTGTCGTAGTTTCCCGAACGCTCCGCAACCGAGTTGAATCCGTCGATTGACCTCTCGGTCGAAGTTGGACTTACCTAGTCGGACTATTTGTCCCAGGTAAACATACTCGTCAACAACTTCTAACTCACATCTTTACTAATGCAAAGAGACGGGCCTGTCATAGAACTGATCTTAATGAATGCAGTGCTATTCTTGTATAATATTTTGTAAAAGTTGGATGTATGTGGTGTCTATATCTTGTTTTTCTAGAGCTTTGAAAATTGAGTCGTGTCTGATGCTATTATAAAAAGCTTTGGAATTGTCTATGAACTCTAGGTAAAGTGGGAGCTGAAATTCTAAATATTTTTCGATGATTTGATTGATGGAGTGACACGGCAAAAACCGGCCTGTTCGGGAGGCTGGTGTTTATCGAGTGCCCCCAGAAATTCTATTGTACAAGTGTGACACCAGACAAATGGTGCGGTAATTGCCAATATCTGTTTTGTCACCCTTTTTGTGAATAAGGATAATTTGTGAGTGACAAAATCCGCAAAAATCTGTTACCGACCATGCTTTAGTTTATTAACCGACTTCAAAAAGGAGGAGGTTCTCAATTCGAGTGTATTTTTCTTGTATGTATATTACGCGATATCTTCGCTGCTTGTGAACCGCTTTTAATTATTCTTTTTTCATTGAATAGGCTTCACCTCAAAGGTGGTCCCATTAAATTTTGAAAAAAATATTCCGTCCCAAGAGTGGAAAATAGGTGGAAAAGTTTCATATTGAACTATTGTTTAAAGTATTTTATATAATATCTTTGCAGATTGAGAACCGATTTTTGTGATTCTTTTTTATTAACAAGGTATTAAATTATAAATTAAATTATATATACTTCAAAGGTAGTAGTATAAATTAAATTATACTTCAAAGATAGTTCCATATAAATTTATATCCGCCCCTAAAGGCAGCCAATAAAAAATTTCTTTTGTAGCAATATGAAGTCGGTTTTTACTTTTTGTTAAATGTTATAATTACGACTATAACGTTTGATAGTTACTGTATACGTTGTTTGTTTTTAAGTAAATAAAAAAAAAGGAAATAATTTCCATAATGAAGAATCCTTGTTGCAGCCTGACCGGGAGCGTGGTCTTCTACTTCATATTGCCCGAGACGGAGGGGAAGAAGCTGAACGACATCGAGAATCACTTCGCTGGTATAAAAAAACTGACAAACGAAGTCTACCGTTCGCAGGTACACATTCCATATGCTTCTCATGAAAAAGAAAATTGTAGCACACAGCATAATGTATTTTTTTTAATTCCAACACTGCTATTTATACTAACAAACGGGCTCTGCGGCCTTAAGTGCAAGAGGGCTAGAAGACTAGTTACTTGGTTAAAACCTATATTTAAGCATATGACGTCACTCCTCACACATAATAAACAAAGTATTTATTTATATTAAGGAAAAAATTAGAAAGTTTTTTTTTTTATATTACTTATAAGTATAAAAATGTAAATTAAAAAGAATTTAAATTATAAATAGAAAGAAGTGTTTGTAACGTTCTGTTTCCTGATTCTGTTTTAACCTGACTTACTTTAGCTTAAAAATATTCAGTTAATTCAAAATTATTATACTGGACTTCGAAGTATAATAATTGTTCGTAGGGTGTAGTATATTGTAGTATCGTAATAAATAAAATAAATAAAAATAATAATACATTTATTTGACTTGACTTATCTTCACGCACAATCCCTGACGGGGTAGCCAGAGAGAACAGATCGCCAAGTGCCACGATCCTTACATACCTCTTACGCTTCTTTCAGATTCATTATCTTCTTCATACATGCACGTCTAGGTATCCGAGTACTCTTGACCCTACACTCTTCGAGCAATTTGCTCACATGGTTCATTTTCTTCACCATTCGGTCTTCATATATTTATTTCTATACATTTATTTATCAATAATATTATTTCATTAAATAGTGGAGAAACAACCCTAGAGAGTAATTGACTTCCTCATGTTGGGGTGTTTCACTCTTACCTTAGTGCTTAACTTTTATACTGTACTATGAGAAAATACTATAATTTTATCTTCAGGTTTACTTAGAATTTGTATTATTGTTGGTCATTTTAATATTTATCCTATATGGCGTATAAATTATTTAATTCTTACCAGAGGCCATGGACGTATACGTACACGGAACGGACGTATACGGAAGTGCCTTATTATTGATTATGAGAATGTTATTTCATTTTAAGTAAATTATAAATAAATAATGAGTTGCCGCGTGTAACGTCCATAGAGAGCGAAAAAATGTCATTTCTTATTCACTGACTGACGGGCGTCGTTCTACGGAATGGTAGACTGATAATTTTATTTATTAATAATATAGTCAGTAGTAGTTACTAAAAAAAATTCACGCTTAATAAACGAATTGCACCCTTATAAACCTCGCTACGTATGTACATTACAGCTGACTGATCAGCTGTGTCTCCATAGGACGTTGACTGACTATCATAATTTTGATTTACATATAAAAAAAAACAAAAGTTCATAAAGTTTCAGCCTTAAGAAATTGATTTTATTATGTCGGTGGTCACGACTTGTGTGACCGCGCACCTGAGACACCTGTTCTAATATCCGCTTGACTGACCGTAGCTTTTTATTGTAAATTATGATTATAATCACCTGAGAAAAAACCAGGCTTAATAAATTCAGAGACTTTTTTGGCTCTGCCTCTCTGTCTATAATCTTCTCGCGCGCTCGCAGTCACCTAAAGGAGACGGAGAATTGACCGTAACTATGGCGCAATGTATTAAGGCTGCAGAGCCCGTCTAGCATATTAGTATATTATATAGAATTCTTTGGTTCTTACGACTTATTCATACTCATAGACCATGTGGCTTCTGTGATATTGATTTCAATACATTTTTTTTCAGAAGCGGTCTACTGTCGAAGTGTCAAAGATGCGCGATCTGAAAGGCGCCACCAATCCCACCTTTGAAGGAGACAACATTAATATTTGAGAGCGAAATCTTCTCAGAGCAGGAGTTTATTCAAATCCAAGTCTTGCTAAAGGCAACCCCTTGTGCTATTCCACGAACATTCATGATACATCTTCTAGTGTTCATTTTAAAAGGTTTTTTTTTAAATTGCCGTTTTAGATTGTTAGGCAACGAAAGGCAAACTGTTTAAATAATTTATCGATTTATTTTTAAGAATAATGAATGTTTACATTTTAGGTAAAAAATATAATCTACTTTGTTTTTAAAATGTGTCAGTAATGAGCGACATCTGTCTGTGAAAGTTTATAAATTGAGAACCACTAATGCCATCTTTCGGCTAAAACTTAAGATGTGATTTAATCAGGGTACGTAGAGGTTCTTATTTAAATTGCAATGTGAAGTATAGTTCGCGACAAAAAGAAATTTAAATTTAAAAGTTTTATAGATGCTTTATATACTTAAATACATGTATGTTACATTTTTATCGAATTTGTAGCAATAATTATAATAAACTAAGAGACGTTTGTTTTAACAATTTGGAGACTTAATTGGTGTATAATAAGTGACATTTTTAACTGTGATTTGTACTTTATATGTTGTTATATAGATGTCGCAGTCAATCAGCTTAATTAGCCTTTCAGTTATTAACCTAGCCCAAAGAGAATATAATCACTACGTTTAAGAGGCGAGACTTCCTAAGATAAAGTAAATGTATAAAATGGCACCAAACTACTCTACCAACATCAAGACATAACATTTAATTTTTGACTATGGAGTGTAGAGTAGAAGGAGAAACATCTTATAAGGTGCGAAAGTTGAAAAAGTGTCCCACTATATACTGAAAATAGAGGTTCCAAAACCTACCACATTAGCGCTGGCGTCTGAAAAACTACGTTATGAATATAGCTGTCGTAGACGGAGTGAAGTCAGCTGAATTCAAATATTTAAAAAATTTCATGACTAGTTAGTAAAATGCCAATATACCAAACCTCAACTATTTACGTAGTACAAAACCAAGCGGATTGGTCGGTCCTTGTTTATTTCTCCATCTTATTCTAATTAATTTTGGCGCTTTTTTTTAAAAATTTATCTTATGCTACTGTAGCGCCGCCCTTATTGGACGCGTTTTTAGGGACACTTTTCATATACAGAGATGGTCCTCCTTCCACACTACACTCCATATTTTTGACAAACAGTGCTGACAACATAAACGAATTATAATAGTGGTGTAAATGTCTATCCGCGAATAATTTTATCGATATATTATTTATCGATATTTTTACATAATAAAAGTTAGATCTCTATACTGAGTTATTTATGAGAAGTAAATTTTGTAACGTGGGGAATGAGTAAAATACCGATGAGGATAAGAAATCAATGTATTTTACACACAGAAATTTGTAATTATATCTTTACAATTATTAAGTACAAAAATATGTATATAGAAAATATAAAATAAAAACGCCCTATTATACCAGTAATTAATTAAGTAAAAGTAAATGACGACTCCGTAACGCAGCGGCTAAAGGTTTGGCTGCAGCACTGCAGGTCTAAGGGTTCCTTCCCGCAATGAACAAGTGTTTCTTTGCTGTAAAATAAATAGTCTGCATCTGAATGCTTGTTTTCAATGTTAGTTTTTTTTAAAGGGTAAAAATATTGGGTTTTTGAACATTGATTGGATTAAATTGCTCTTAAGTGTAACAAATACTATGTACTAATCGCTAGGCTTCTTCACAGAGGTACCCACGTACAGTACAGTACCCACTACTCGCTAAGATCGTTCACTAATAGTCGCTTTCATAATGAGTGCCCATAATAGCTAATGTTTGTAGATGAATCTATAAAAAATTATAACCAGGTAATCACAAATAACTTCGAGTTTGTGACTAGAGGGATATTATATTTTGCTACATGTAAATGAAACCTAATTAACATACACATAGTTGTGGAAGTTTTAATTAAGCCCACTGAAGGAATAACAGTTCGTTTTAATTGTAACTAACTTTAATTATAACTAGCTTTACGGCTCTGGATTCTAGCCTTTCTGAGCCTGAAGTTACAATGTATAATTATCCTTCATAGTACACAATATGTTGATGCGTCACATTGTGCAGCCCTTGGGAGATTTTGACGGCAGCTTGAGCCAGCAGACAGCTGACAGTTGGCGATAGTATCTCAAGGCGCCTAAGCAGACACCTTATCTTGAGAATCACATCACCATCAGGGCACTTGTTTCAACGTTTACACCAATAGTTCATATGCGCAGACACTTGATACATAAAATCGCACCACTTTTACATATCAAAATCCACTTCAAACCATTATTTAAACAATAACACAGGAGCAGCAAACCGCCGCCGGTCAAGTTCCCGCCAAAAACTCCAATATAGCACATATCGCATAATTAGGCACAGACTAGCGACCTTATGTGGCATGGTCACCTGGTAAAAAGGCTAGGCTGTTAACTGAAAGGCTAATTAAGCAAGTTGGCTGCAACATAGACATACAATGATTGTAAATATATTATTTGTGTAAACGACGATACTTTGTGATTCATATAGAGCCCTGTGGTTTCTTAAAAAATAAACCTTCTTGTTCTTGTTTTGTCATTATGTGAGAGACAGTGGGTTTATCGACGCTAGTTGTGTTCACGGTATAGTTAACTGTATTTCAAGCTTCACTAGCGTTCAAAGTGCATGGAAACGTTAGGTTATCGTCATGTGTAAATATATAATATATTTATCTGCATGTAGAGAAACTATTTATGTGTAAGAGAAATAATTAAACTTTCCATACTAACTTGCTTTTTATTTTAGCAAGATATTTCATACACTTTCTGAATATCATCCATAGATTGTGGCGTAGGTTATATTTGCCAGGATGCAATTGCTTGGCAGTTTTTTTATTATTATTATATTATCACCGTGTAGGGAGTTCACAGTATCGTCCCGTGGGTGTCGTAACAGGCGACACAGGAAAACTGAATCTGAATCAGCAGCATCATCCTGATAAGAACACAAAATTATAAATAACCGACCATGTGAGTCGGATTCGCGCATGAAGGGTTTCGTACCATCGTAACACACGTTTCTAGTAGGGGAGCCCTTTTTAATTCTTATTATTTGTTGTTAATAACGGCAACAGAAAATACACATTCTGTGAAAATTTCAACTGTCTACCTATTACGAATCATGATATACAGCCCGCTGACAGACAGACGGAAGGACGGACAGCGGAGGCTTAGTAATAGGGTGCCGTTGGTTATCCTTTGGGTATGTCAATCTGCCAAGCTTGGTAACTATGGAATATATTGCCCCTATGAGGCAATTTATGATTATATTGGAAGATGCTTCTGATCGATATATTATCTGATTGTAGTAAACGCACCAAAAAAAGGATGCCAGTCCCAAATATCACAGATGAGTAATGGAAAGCACCTTTAAGAGCGCAGGAGGGACAGCACATTGTAGTGAGTGTACGCAACTGTTTTATTTATACATTTTTGCAAACGTCTTCAAAAATGGTGTTTCTTTTATGTGTGTTACCTCAAAACCTTTTTCTGGGTACTGATTTTGACGATTCTTTTTTTATTTGAAAGCTGGTGCTTCTCATGTCCTCCCATATAAATTTGATCAAGATCTGATGAGTAGTTTTTGAGTTATCCTTAATAATGCGTATTTAATTGACTTCAGACTACATTGATGTTCTCAATTTGTTTATATTGAAGTCGTTTGCACGAATTTTTTTAATTTCACCACTTATTTAAATTGAAAAGAAGTGTGTATCGGTAGACTTTTACGGGCTTTTGACGATGGGTAAAAATAAATCCAATTTTAAGTAACGCACATTTATTCAGACGTAGGTGGTATCGTTTATAATAGGGTACAGAGGCCGCAGGAATGTACATGTACGCCATGAATGAGGGTATCCACGACTTTTTCTGCCACCAGAGTGGCGCCACCTAGGAATGAGGTGAAATATTTGACAATTTCATAGCAGGGGGAAGTAAATTTGTTCGGAAAATGTTAGGGTTGATTTTTCGTTCTAAAATATTAGTAATCAGATTAGAAATGGAAAATCAAACTACTGATTCTCATTAAAGTGGATTTTTAAAAAAAAATATATAGTAACATTTAATAATTAATGAGTAAACCACTGAGGCACTGTTCCGCGTATTTACACAATCTAAAAACCGATAGTTTTATTTAAAACGCATTTTCTCAATTACAATGACATTTTGTTTCTAAATAAGTTCACCTCAGTCCCAACTAGCGACATCTGGTGAGCGTAAAATTATTAGCCCTCGTTAGCGATGCGAACGTGCTGTCTTCGGGTCGGCTTGCGTCGAGGCCGGGAAGTGACCGTGTGTGCGCCTGTGGTTTTGCAAAGCTGTGCCCTAAAACAAACACATTTTTTTAAATATAATAAGGGTGACAAACGAGCACACAGTCCACTTGATGGTAAGTATAGATGTGGCCCATTTACATTTATCCTCGGTTAAGAATTTTCCTTGTTGTCCCCTGAGGACTAAAGTGGAACGCCTCGTCCAGTAAAAAGTATCTCCAGTTCTCAACACTCACCATACGATACACAGCAGCGTTGAGCTGCTATTTTACGCTGTTATTCTGTGAGAGCGTGGTCCTATGGTTTTAGATATATCTGCAGCATAGCTTTATCACGTATACACATCGAATAACCTTAACACATCGAAGTTATAATCTTTTTTAATATTATAATATTATCATCATCATTACAACCTTTCACTAGTGCACTGCTGAACTTAGGTCTTACCCAATGTCTTGTCTTACCAATTTGTCGTTTCATCTAATGGAGAACTGCGTTACCCCTTCCAATACCGTTATAGCCTATTACAGTACACTGCTGGATACACCTCCCCCATAGATCGCCTCATACAGGGGATATTTGCCATAGTTGCCACGCTTGGCAAGCGGATTGACAACCGCAGTTTTATTTTAATTTTTAGACGTTATTAGGAAGACGCTCCTGCCTATCTGCTGAATTGTTTCCCTCTGTTGCCTCTTACGACACCCACGGGATGATATGAGATACTGGATATTCTTAAACCGCCGCTATATACGGTATTCCGTAACCATTGCCATTGAATTATTCGTAGAAACAATCCATGTTCGCTGTTATTAAATTTAAAATTTTAATAAAAAAGTAAAAATCTACTTCAAAGAAATAGAATGAAATAATTTCCACGTTTCGAAAGGAAACACAAGGAAAGACGAAGTCTTTCTTCTTCATCGTCCTCTTTATTAAAAAAAAATTGACAATTTGAAATCTCTTACACTAGTGATCCGCCCCGGTTTCGCACGGCTGATTTCTGAATCTCGACAATAACGCCACCTACCGGGCCCAGTTGTGAATCTAAACCATTCTCTAATCAACTTAATGACACACAAAATTTCATCAAAATCGGTTCAGGAGGAGTTTAGTCACATACACACGGACAGACGAATAATATAAGATATATTATGCAATTATTATACATATAAACTTTCATCTTGAATCACTGTCTATTGATAAACACCGCATCATAATGCGTTGCGTAGTATGAAAGATCTATTTAAGCGTACAGACGGCGGGAAGCGACTTTGTTTTATACTAAGTAGAGATTTTCCACCCATAAGGAAGATATGTTTTATGTATAATTTTAACCGTGTATAATTGTTTATGGTCTAAGAATATCCAGTACCCCATATCGTCCCGTGGGTGTTGTAAGAGGCGACAGAGGGAAACAAATCAGGAGATGGACAGCAGCACCTCCCCGATAACCAAGCAACCAACTAAACTGTAGTTGCCGACTCATGTGCCAACCGTGGCAACTATGGCAAATATACGAGGTAATCTAGGGGGAGGCTTATGTTCAGCAGTCGACGTCAGATATGCTGTAATGGTAATGGTAATTATATATTTGTCTAAAAGAAAACGTACTTATTTACCACGGCTGTGAAGGTAAATAATGTGACGATACTTGCATGTGTGAGAAATAAAAAAAAATGTTTCGAAGACATGTGAAGTTCGCCAATTGGGCCACTTGGGGCAGCGCGGCGGACATTTACAAGCCCTAAAACCCTCTCATTAATGAGAGGTCTGTGCTCAGCAGTGGAACGTACATAGGCTGTAACTTTAAAAGAAAACACTTCGGAGAGTGTGGGCCAGAATTGAATGACTATAATTCCTAGTACGTACGTACGCACTTTCCAATGCAAATTCTTTTTCCATTGTACGTCCAACGTTCTGTACTGGTAATTATCGCGTTTTTGACATTTGGATAATTTTATATCAGCACTACTTAAAGAAATTGGAGGAAGCCACGCCCATCAGTGGGAAATACATGGGAGAACGTCATTTATTATTTATCTTCATATACATATTATATAATGTACAGCCGAGCTTAATGCCTTAGGCATTCTCTACCAGTTAAACTTTGGATGAGATAGAATGAAGTAGGAGTAGAATTTTTTGAAAAAGATAGTTGATAATATATAAAAATACTTGGTGATTTTCTGAAAAAATTGATAAAATAAATGGTCATTGATTATTATTTTTAATTGATTATTATTAATTGACCGAGCCGAAGCCGAGACGAGTCGCTTGTTATATATATTTTTCTATAGGAGAGAGGGCAAACGAGCATGCGGCTCACATGACTAAGGGTAAGTGACTATCTCCACCCATGAACAACTGCAACACCAGGGGAATTGCAAGTGCGTTGCCGCCCTTTTCCCCGGCCCTTCCCAAGTCGTATCGGTCAGGAAAAGTCGCTGGTGGTAGTAGATTCACCAAGGCAGTTATGTGTGGAAGACAACTTCTTGTAAATCGCACAGTGGTGGACCACCGACCGTCGAAATAGTATGTTTAGTATGGATATATACGAATAATTTACTTGAAGTGTATATTAATTTACGTTTATATTTACCTGTATAAAACGGTCGCCGCACAGTTCGCAGATGTATGGTTTATCACCAGTATGGCGGCGCACGTGTAGGTTGAGATCGTTGCTCTGCGAGAAGGCCTTGTCGCAGTACGGACACTTGTAGGGGCGAAGGCCCGTGTGCACTCTCATGTGCCGGGCCAGTTTATTACTACGGGAGAAGCCTGCACACAAATTCACTGACCTTATTTCCATCCATCCATTACATCCTACAAGAGTCCACTGCTGAACATGAGCCTCCTCATAGATGGTCCCATAGAAGTTTGCCACGTTTGGCAGAGGGGTTGGCAAACGCACTTTTTTTCTATTTTCTATATATATTTTTTTTCTTGAAAAACGTTACCCCCCACCCTAGGATTTTCTCCTGTATTGTGGAGACAGTTTACAAACAGAAATTGCACGAGGGCAAACATCCAGACCCGGAACAATTATTTGTAGGCCATGCAAATACTTGTTCCATGCGGGATTCGAAGCCGCGGCCTCCAGCGCACCAACTCATTGCTAAGCCACTGGGCAATGGAGCCGTATATATATATATACTAGCTGACCAGGCAGGTTCTACCCTTTCCTGAAATGACCCTATCTCCAATAAAAAAATCGTTAAATTCCTAATAAAAGATGTTAAAGGTCACTTATCGGGATAAAAACTATCCTATCTTTCAAGTTGGACCAAACTGCACACAATGTGCAAAATTTCATTGAAATCAGTTCAGTAGTTTAGGAGTTCATCGCGGACAAACAACGTGACACGTAATTTATATATATATATATATATATATATATATATAACTTATCTGAATATTATTTTCAATTTTATAAAAACTGACTGAATCGAACTCACAGCCCACTTGATGGTAAGTGGCTACTGTACACCACCGCAACTAACTTCAAATGACGAATGCTACGGATACATGATCACATCCAAGGACTAACATGGAAATAGTTATACTGGCTCTCAACATTTCAGCCCAGTCAAGTCACTGATGCTTGGCGAAGTAACTGAATAAGAGGGTGTACGGTCCTTTCGTGGTCGAACCGACCCATTCATTCTACAACCATAATATCCTATAGACTGCAGTGTGGCTCTACCACGAATTATACATTTCAAGTTCTCTTCATCATCAACTTGTTACGTGGTAGAGCCACGCTGCAGCTTAATTTTTTTATAGTATAGGGTGACAAACGAGCACAGTCTATCTGATGGTAAGTGGTCGCTTTAGGATAAATGTAGATGTTTATGGGCCACACCCATAAACATCTACATTTATCCTCGTTTGCGAATCAAAATGCAGATGCGTTGTCACCCGTGAGGACTAAGATGGAATGCCTCGTTTCCAGTAAAAGGGTCTCCGGTTCTCTACACTCACCATACGAAACGCAGCAGTGTTAAACTGCTATTTTACGCTGGTATTCTGTGAGAGCGCGGTCCTTCCCCGGTCGAGCCGATCCATTCGTGCTACAACTATACTACTAATATAGCTGCAGCATGGCTCTACCACGTATAAATTATCTATTATTATATTGTACCACTAATTGGTCAGCTCGACTAGGATAGCACCACGTTCTCACAGAACACGAGCGTAAATATCAGCTCAATGCTGCACCGGAGACCTTTTTTACTGGAAACGATGCATTCCATCTTCGTCCTCAGGTGTGACAACGCATCTGCATTTTAATTCTCAAACGAGGAGAAATGTAGATGTTTACAAGTCACAGTATCCACTTACCATCAGGTGGACTGTGTGCTCGTTTGCTTGTTGTACCTATTCTATGAAAAATAAATCAAACATTGACTTCTCCCTTAACAATCTCAGATACCGAAAGTCACAGTTCTATCCCTATTCGCTCGTTCGGATTTTAAGTCTGACGTGAACTAAATTTAACTGCAATGAGGGCACCCACGACCTTTCCTGCCACCAGGGCGGCGACAACTTGAGTGAAAGTTAATTAGTTAGTAATTTTTCTTTCTGCAATACATGCTATATTTTATATTAATTAGATTAAGCATGTATAAGCCAAACTAAGGATATGTCAAAAAGAAGACGAATTAAATAACACGGGATTAAGGGAATTGCATGTGCGTTGCCGGCCTTTTAAAAAGGAGTAAGCTCATTTATTTAAGTTAGGGTTGCAAACCGTCTTGTTTTCCCAGAACATGTCCTAGTTTTGGTAGTGTCCTGGGATGTCCTCGATAGTTTTTAAGCTGCGTCCTTGGTTTATAAAGCGCTAGGACCAGGACCCTGGACTTTTAAAGCGTTCTAAAATTTTTTGAATGATTTGATCTAACAGGGTCTGATTTGCTAGATTGGAGCAACATTGAAAAATCTTTGGCCTTTTTAAAAGATCACGGCATTGAAATCAACGACGAAAAATTATTTGACGAGTGGGTTAATTTGTAAAATTTAGCACAGTACATACATACTTACTTGCATACTTAGTACATACATTCATCACATTTTCGGTTCGGTTTGTTCTGCAGTAATGTTTGACAAGGCCTTTACTGCGTCCTGTTTTTAAACTGTATTGTTCTGATTTTTCCAACCAACCAAATCAAAGTTTTTTTAAATTTGAGGTTGGCAACGCTAATTTAAGTCAAAGTGGCTGTGGCTGTGGCACCACGAGACTTAACGACATCTAAAAATTGATTAACGTTTGAGTATTTAGGCAGTAGACCCGTAACTACTATCTATGCACTAACTAAACCATTAGACGTTAAACTATAATTATGAAATTTTATTATTTTTATTCCTAAACCACACATATTACCAGCCACAGCATATTATATAAACTATTAAATAAATAAGGTACAGTCACAATGTCACATTCTTTATCTACTCTCGCTGGTCACAACACTTAGATAAAAAGTCCTTTTTCGGATATACCGCCATCTACCGAAAGGCTCGAGAAACTTTCTAGCATTAGATTAGCTAACGCAATAGGTTTAAGTATAAGGAAAAAAAAAATCACCTTTCCCACAGACGCCGCATATGTAAGGCCTCTCCCCGGTGTGTGACCGCCTGTGACATTGCAGGTCTGAAGATCTGGGGAACCCTGAAAGGAAATAATCTTTTACATCCTACTTACAGCCCACGCCCAACTAATATAATCATTCACAAGTCCACTTACGAACATTTGCAATAGTTATAGAAAGGTTTTATAGAAAGTACCTTTATCACAGAAGTCACACTTGTAGGGCTTCTCGCCGGTGTGTCGACGCATGTGAACAATGAGATTCGAGGAGTTGGTGAAACTGCGGCCGCAGTACAGGCACAGGCAGCCACCGGCACCGCCCTCCTTCCCCTCCCCCACCTCAGACTTTGGCTCGTGTACCCGCATGTGCGACCTGCCCCGAACAAAATACAATCACTCTGAATTTATGATGATGTTAGCGCTGTTAGCCTTTCATCTCACAGCGTCATAAGACTCAGGGCTGAAAAAGTGGGTGAAGATTGTTCATTTTAGTGCAACGTTACTTTGGCAACGTGTATGGTGTGTACGCGTTGTCCTAACTAAAATACAATCAATAGAAGGATCTATGTTAGAACGTCATCTGCCACATTACGGCTTCTTATATTACAGTCACTATGAAAAACATTCAAAGAACAATGAGAACAATGGGGGTTGAATCTTAAGCACAGCAAAATCATCTTAATCGTCATTATCATTACAGCCGTTGTCAAGTCCACTGCTGGGCAAAGGCCGCCGCTTAAATTAGCTCATAAGGGGAGGGGCCATTTGTCATGGGCGACACGTTTAGCAGGCGAGGATTAACAAAGTGGCAACCACAGTGTTTTTAAATTATTTGGAATTGTTATCAGGCAGATGCCGCTGCCTATTTTCTGTTTTATTTACCTCTGTCGTCTCTTGCGACTCTCACGGTTGATATGCCACCTCTCTTACGCCATCACTACACGGAAAAAATCAAGTAAAAAATCAAAAAATGTTTGACACTTGTTTTATTACAATCAAAGGTTAGGGCCAAACATTGTATTATTGATGAAAATAAATAAACATAAAAACAACAATCTTAATGGTCTTAATGTGTGTGCAAACATGCACGCGCGCGCGCTCGTTGGTGTGTATGTAAACAAAGATAAACATGTGTGTAATTATCAGCCCGTAATTGAATATATATGCATTACTATATTTTTGTACACAAAAGAAAAATTGTCGCATACCGCAGATTGTCGCCTCTATGGAATCGTTTCTTGCATATTTCACACTCGTAGTATTTGTCGCCCGGTTTGTGGTTCTTCGTGTGCTTCATTAGCAGGTCTTTACTGAAATTTTTACCAACGTTTAAGGTAAAATTGTAATTATTACACTTTTTAATTTAACAAATAGAACTTTTAGTATCCGGCTCGAAGGACCAAATAACGTCCGAAACCAGATGCGTATTCTATAAGCGAACAGTAGGTATAAATTGAAATATTAATAAGTTAGAATTAAGTATACATATTTTTCATATATTTTTCTGTCAATATTACGTTTTTAAATTTCGAAGAATTCGGATCCGCAGCACACGTAAGTTGTATTATGCAGATCCATATTAATTAAGGTTTTATTTCTTTAACGTTACCCACCGTTGTCGGAGCACGTAATTTACTTTTGCATTTAAAGATAATTACACCGTTATCTAAGGGAAGCTACAAGACAAAATCGTTAAGTCTTTTCTAGCGCGTAAATCAATGTCATCAAATCTGATATTCATGGATATATGAATCTATGAAGACGTCCTCCAATCACCGTAAATGTAATGAAAATAACACAGTAGATCTCACCCAACTACTACAAAACATGGTCCTGAGCCACCTGCATCTATTGACTCCCTGCACGTACCAGATCGTTACTCTATTAAGTGAGAGACAGTAAAAGAAGTTGCCGCTCAAGGCCTCTCTGCCATTTTTACAATTATGCATTTTTGTGCAAGTTTTACCACGCACTAGAGATGTGTCAATGTGAATAATGTTTTAAAACAATATTATTAATAGCCATATTAAATAGTGGGTTGTTGTAACAGGCGATTTCTAAAATTTCTAAGATAGATATTTTTCTTCCAGCACATTATTAATTATATATTATTATACTTCAATATAAAAAGATGATTATATCTGACCCCATTGTCACCATACTACCGCCATACCACTATCTAGCGGAGGCCAGTTTCCATAGGCACTTTTTATAACCACGGGACTATATAGTTTATATGTGATAAAGTCTCGCTGCAGTACGAATATGTCATCTCGACCGGGAAAGGACTACGCTGGCACAGAATAACAGGAAATAGCAACATATTTTCCTTCACCACCGAACATGTGGTAAATTAGCACTTGAAATTGCAATTAACAATTTCTATGGTGCCGGCGGGGATAAAAACCGGGTTCGAACATTAAGAGAATCTTGTGAGCGGTACCTGTAAAAGCATCGGCTGCACGTGTCGCACTGGTACCGTTCACCGTCCGCGACTTCGTTGAACCGCACGGAGACGCTCTGTCCCGCGTGACTGTGCAGGATGTGCTTGTTGAGGGATATCTCGTGCGCGAATCGCTTGCCGCAGGTGACGCACGGGAACGCGCGCTCCACACTAGCGCACTTGCTGCGGTGACGCGTCGCGGACTTCACGGACGCGAACACCTACGACCATTCAAAGTTAAAATCAAAACTTTATATTGCTTAATACTTCAACTATTAGATGATTCAAAGTCAAATTTAATACTTTTGCGATCATCAGAACTTTTGGACCATGAAAAAATTTGATGTCTAAGTAATATGAGTAAAGAAAACTACCAGAGACAAAGCTTTCAAGGAATATTCAAAATGTTAACTATTTTGGTAGGGTTGACACAGGAGGATAATATTAAAGAAACAAAACGTTGATCATCTTTTTCTGATGTAACTATGATAAAATATTGTTTTTACAAACTACTTTAAATCTTTTATTTTTACATTTTTAGTTTTTGAATAATTTGTCGCACCTTATAGAGTTGAATGGTTAATTTCAAATGTAACATAATTATAATAATGTACGTTCTATTATCGTTAATAAATACAGTACAGTAAACTATATTAACATTTTTTTATATTGTGTTTTGATACACGATGTGTACACCTTGAGAGTTGAGCACTGGCCGAGCCGATTTAAAGCGGTTTCTCTCTGTGCGTTGCGAGCCGTCAGTGCTCACGCAGTAGTATACCTATTTTTTATAGTATTATTTTTTAGTATTGCAAATTTTAACCTCTTTTTTTATAGTATAGGGGTGATAAACTAACAAAGAAAAATTGGTAAATCCAATTGGGCATGCCTTAAGCGCATTAAAAAATTACGTATAACATGATTATACGGAATTTTTTAAAGTAATTTAAATACATTTCGACAGCACTCTATCGGCTTCAACACCCTCGAAAACCATGAAAATGACACCCATGATGAAAAAATTGGTACCTACTTCACCCGCCATCTTGGATTTACATTTCGACAGCACTATCGGCTTCTACACCCTCGAAACCCATGAAAATGATACCCAAGATAAAAAAATGATACCTATTGCAGCCGCCACCTTGGATTTCCATTTCGACAGCACTATCGGCTTCAACACCCGCAAAAACCATGAGATTGAAACCCATGATGAAAAAATTTATATCTATTGCAGCCGCCATCTTGGATTTACATTTTGACAGCACTATCGGCTTCAACGCCCTCAAAACCCATGAAAATGATACCCAAGATAAAAAATTGATACCTATTGCAGCCGCCACCTTGGATTTCCATTTCGACAGCACTATCGGCTTCAACACCCGCGAAAACCATGAGAATGACACCCATGATGAAAAAATTTATATCTATTGCAGCCGCCATCTTGGATTTACATTTCGACAACCCTATCGGCTTCAACTCTCTCTAAAACCATGAAAATGACACCCATGGTGAAAAAATTGATACCTGTTGCAGCCGCCATCTTGAATTTACATTTCGACAGCACTATCGGCTTCAACGCCCTCGAAAGCCATGAAAATGACACCCATGATGAAAAAATTGATACCTATTGCGGCCGCAATCTTGGATTTACATTTCGACAACCCTATCGGTTTCAACACCCTCGAAAACCATGAAAATGTCACCCATGACAAAAAAATTGATACTACTTAGTTTTAGTACGTACTACTATTATTTATTCCGTGCTTTTAGAATATTGTACTCGTAATAAAAAAAATTCTCATTATATCAAGTATTTAAGAAATTTGGTTATACGAATATTGTATATTCGTACAGCGATCTTTTTGAGCCGCTGCAAACAACCGAAACAATGTCCACTCACGACGGCGACTGTAGTCTTGTGTAGTTCGCGAACGATGAACGATTAGGAAACGTATCTTGCCACTATACTAGAAGAAACGTTTCCGAATGCCGATTGTTAATCGGTCTAACAGTTCTTTTCGTTCACCTACAGTCGCAAGACGCCAACACCAAACCGTGCGTGTGAGCCATGAAGCAAAGAACGACGCACGCAAACAGAGCAACCCAGAATCGATCAGTAGTCATTCAAGGTAGACATGGCGTTAAATGAAATATTGGATATAAGGTTAATTTTATAGCAAATAATTATTACAATGCTTATTTTTAGACATGTGAAGCCACAATTTTAATGTAATATACAAAAAGAATAGTGTTGATGTTTTTAAGGAATATTTTCATTCGAATAACACGCCATCTACTCCATTGAACAGGTATTAAAGTCACTTTGTCAAACGAAAGTTAATTGATTCTCAAGGTGACAGGTAAAGAAGACGCTATATGGCATAAATATAAAATTTAATATAAAATTATAAATTACTAAGGTAAGAAATCTATCGCAGATTTTTTTGAATGGACTGAAACGTGATAATTTTATTAATTGTGGTTAATTTTATTTATTTAATAACTTTGTTATTTATTTTAACTGATTATTTTAACAGTTAAAATATTTATATTAACCATCTTTAATTCAAGGACAAGAGCCGATGAATGCCTCTCTGTAGCTAGCTACCCAAATCACCTAGTAAGTTTAAAACAAATCCCAGCTCTGTGCTTAGCCTTTTACCATAATACGCATTGGCCAATAAATTTATGTAGGTATAGATAAATATTTTATTGCAATACATAAAAATGGTATAATATTATCTATATGCTGTTGACTAGAATGACAGTCCTAAGCCTGTTTAAGTATAAAGGGAAATCAAATGAGTCAAATTTTAATTTTAAGTTTAAAATATTTTTTATAACACAACGTTACGACTCGAGCAAATATCGCCCGACTGAGACTGACTGCATTAACCTGTTTAAATTGCATCTATCAGTCTGACTGTTGACTGATTCAGTCAGTGACTGACTGAGATAACCATTCCATAAAGATAGATACAATTTAAACAGGTTAGTAGTACTGATGACCGAATTGAACTAATAGAACTAATAGAATGAACTAGTTCACTGTACGTAATGTACTACTAGTACGGAACGATGTTTAAAATGACCGACCAGTCACAAGACTAGGCGACTGACGCCGAACTGAGTGAGTGAGTAAAGTACTCTGTGGATGTAGCTCAGAGTGCGGCTTCCGCCTATTTACAGAAATAATTTACATACAAGGCTACCAAATCAACGAAAATTTCGCCATTTAGGAGCCGAAAAAAATTAATTATAGCTAAACAAAACAAAATTACACTGCCATTTACATTCAATGGCTTCCCCCATGATAGGTGAAGAGATTAAAAAATAGATTGAGTTAAACAATTGATATTTTCAAAAGTTATCGTGTTTACAAGCTTTGCGGACTTGATAAATCCACACCATAAGCCACTAAAACCCCTTTTTTTATTTAACAATAGCAATTAATCGATTTAAAAAAAAATATTAATAAGTTCAACAATCATTTATCTTTCTAACAATATGCTTTTTATATCATTTAAATGTATAATATGATTGCTGGCTACGATTTCATTCGATAAAATGTTGGAATCTTAATTTTTAGGCGATAGTAGAATATACCTTGCGCTTTCGCTTAAGGCATGCAATATATACCTGGTAGAGCCATGCTGCAGCTACATTATGGTTGTAGCACGAATTTGTCGGCTCAACCGGGGAAGAACCACGCTCTCACCAGAATAAACAGCTTATGAGACAACAAACAAACGCAGACACAAGAGGCATTCCAGCTTAGCCCTAAGTGGTCACAAGGCATCTGCATTTTGATTCTTAATCTATGATAAATGTCTATTGGTCACATAATTCACTTACCACCAGGTGAACTGTGTGCTCGATTTTCACTCTTATTCTATGAAAAGAAATTCAGAATGAGTGTTGTCCTTCCCCTGATGAGCCAATTCGTGCTACAGTGTAGCTCTACCACGTGCAATTATTACGAATATTATAGAATTTAAACTTTCTATATCCCCGAAACTCTTCACCGCTGCATTGGAAGACGTTTTCTGGCTACTGGACTGGAAAGGATACGGTATTAACTTTTTATTAGAGCACTAAGCTCGACGTTGTTGACGAGTATGTTTACCTGGGACAAATAGTTCGACTAGGTAAGTCCAACTTCGACCGAAAGGTCAATCGACGGATTCAACTCGGTTACGGTACATCTTCTCGTCAGGTATACCTCAAAACTTGAAAACGAGTGTACAACCAGTGCGTGTTGCCAGTGATGACCTATGGAACTGAGGCGTGGTCTTTCTTTGGTCGGATGAGGAAGCTCAAGGTTGCTCAGCGAGCTATGGAGAAGGCTATGCTCGGATTTTCTCTGCGTGATAAACATAGAAATAAGGATATCCGCAGTAGAATCAGAGTGACCGACATAGCCCACCGGACTAGTAAGCTGAAGTGGCAATGGGCCGGCCATATAGCTCGAAGAACCGACAACCGTGGGGAAAAAAGGTTCTCGAGTGGCGGCCTCGTACCGGCGGACGAAGAGTAGGGCGTCCTCCAACTAGATGGAGTGACGACCTGGTAAGACACGCAGGAAGTCGATGGATGCAGGTGGCTCAGGACCGTGTTTAGTGGCATTCCTTGGGGGGGGGGGGGGGCGTATGTTCAGCAGTGAACTTGTGAAGGGAATAAATGGATATTAACACTAGATCGTTCGTATTACGATTTATAAATTTTATACGTGACAGAGCCACATTGCAGCTATTTTATAGTTGTAGCACGAATGGGTCGGCTTGACGATCTCACAGAGTAACAGCTTAAATACTGAACCACCCACGGTGACTACAATCCCCAAAAACAATTATTGCCTCACCTGTCTAAGGTGACTATAGTCACTAAACGACATCTTTCGTTTAGTGACTATAGTCACCTTGGACAGGTTCAGTTCTTACAAGATATATCAAACATGCGCTTTAGGAATATTATTATCGCGGGAGATTTTAACATTGATATACTTAAAAGTAATAGTCAAACAATAGCATTTGAGTGTCTGCTATTAAGTTTTAACCGACCTATTGCTATTAAGTTAACAGCCGACACGTATGGCCAGCATGACATGCATCGACAACTTTGCGTACAGCTTTGATAAGCAGTGTAAGTCTAATGTGATAGAGTTAGCATTATTAGATCATAGCACAGATTTTACAATACCCAGTTCAGAAATGTTATG